CGAATAGACACTAGTCTAAAAGAATCTGGAGGTTTTAGGGACTGGGTCAGAATCTTGGAGAGTTGCTGGCATCTGAGAAGTCCAAAGAAGTATTAAGAAAAAATACACTGTTGGGCTTCCCCCCGCCCTTAAATAGACATACCCAGATATAAATAAACTGGGTAAGTCAAAAGGGCATGAAAAGTTACCAAAGGGGGCTTAGCTGAGGGGTTAGGGGTGGTTGAGTATGTTAAAGGAGTCAGGCGACTTGGACTGATATAGTGGGGAAGTTTCTTGGCCATGTGCACAGGGACTTTTCTTTTTAAAGTATTTGTATTTTAGAGCACTTTTAGGCTCACAGTAAAATTGAGAGGAAGGTACAGAGATTTCCCATATATCCCCAACCCCCACTTATGCACAACCTCCCCCATTATTGACATCACACACCAGATGGTACATTTGTTACAAATGATGAGCCTTCATTGACACATCACTATCATCTGAAGTCCATAGTTTACATATGGTTCACTCTTGATGTTGTATATTTTATGGGTTTGGACAAATGTATAATGACATTATACTACCACACAGAGTATTTCCACTGCCTCCCCAAATTCTCTGCACTCCACCTATTCATCTCTCTATTCTTCCCCTCCTGGCAACAATTGATTCTGCAGTTTTCCCTTTTTCATAAGTCATTTGAATGGAATCATGCAGCATGTAGCCTTTTTAGATTGGATTCCTTCACTTAATAACATGCATTTAAGTATCCTCTATGTCTTTTCACAGCTTGATAGCTCATTTCTTTTTGGCACTGAATAATATTCCGTTATTGGGAGGTATAATGGCTTATTTGTTTATTCAACTACTGAAGGACATCTTGATTGCTTCTGAGTTTTGGCAATTATGAATACAGCTGCTATAATAATCTGTGTGCAGGTTTTTATTTGTTGGTCTGTTTATTTTATTTTTGATACTGATTCATATCCCCAGGCCCTTTTATTTTATTGAGACAGGGTCTCACTAAGTTGCTTAGGGCCTAAGTTGCTGAGGCTGGCTTTGAACTTGAGATGCTCCTGTCTGAGCCTCCCAAGCTGCTGGGATTACAGGAGTGTGCCACTGTGCCCAGCTTGTGTGAAGGTTTTTGTGTGGATGTGTTTTTCAACTCGTTTGGGCAAATTTCTGGGTTTCATGGTAAGAATGTTTTTAGTTTTGTAAGAAATTTACAAAGTATTCTCCAATGTGGCTGTACCATTTTGTATTCCCACCAGTAATGAATGATAATTCCTAGTGCTCCACCTCTTCGTCAGCATTTAGTGCTGTCAGTGTTCTGGATTTGGGCCACTGTAATAGGTGTGTAGTGGTACCTCATTGTTGTTTTAATTTGTATTTCCCTCATGACATATGGTGTGGAGCATGTTCTCATATACTATTTTTCACCTGAGGATCTTCTTTGATGAGATGTCTGTTCAAGTCTTTGGCTCATTTTTTAAAAATAAGGTTGTTTATGTTTTTACTGTTGAATTTTAAGTGTCTTTGTGTATTTTGGATAATATTCCTTTATCTGTCTTTTGAAAATACTCTCTCCCAGTCTGTGTATCTTGTCTTTTCATTCTCTTGACAGTGTCTTTTGCAGAGGATTTTAAAATTTTTCATATGTAGCTAGGTGCAGTGGTGCACACCTGTAATCCCAGCAGCTCGGGAGGCTGAGACACGAGAATCAGGAGTTCAAAGCCAGCCTCAGCAATGGCGAGGCAGCGCTAAGTAACTCAGTGAGACCCTGTCTCTAAATAAAATACAAAATAGGGCTGGGGATATGGCTCAGTGGTTGAGTATGCCTGAGTTCAATCCCTGGTACCAAAATAAATAAATAAATAAATAAATAAAATTTAAAAAAAATAAAAATTTTCATAAAGTCCAGCTAGTCACTTGTTTCTTTTATTGTGTCTTTGGTGTTGGATCTATCTAAAAAAAATTATTGCCAAACCCAAGGTCATCCAGATTTTCTTCTATCTTAGCTCTAGAAGTTTTACAGTTTTGCATTTTACAATTAGGTAGGTCTGTGATTCACTTTGAGTTGGTTAGGGTCTGTGCCTCGGCTTATTTCTATTATTATTTTATCTTTGCATGTGGATGTCTAGTTGCTCCAAAATTATTTTTTAAAAGACAATTTTTGCTACATTGTATTTTGATATCTTTTCTTCTTTGTCAAACAGCAATTGGATACTGTGGCTCTATAGTCCATTGATCTATCTATTCTTTCAATATAGTATTTCTTAAGTTGTTTGGTGTCAGTCTTCCAACTTTGTTCTTCTTCAATATTGTGCCGGCTATTCTGGGCCTTCTGCTCTCAATATAAAACTTAGAATCAGTTTGTTGATAAACACAAAACAACTAGCTGGGACTGAGTCTATAGATCATCAAGTTGGGAAGAATGGATATCTTTTTTTTTTAGGATGAAAAAGTTTACAATTTATTTGTATTTCCTTAAAGACTCATTTATACACTGATAATTGGATTTTCAATATTATCTGTTATGAATTACAAAAATGATAATTTACCCATAATTGGAGTGTTTAAAAATTATAGGATGAAAAAGCTTAAAATTTATTTGTATTTCCTTTTTTTTGCCTTTGATACACTTTATTTTATTTTATTTTTTTTAAATTTTTTATTGTTGGTTGTTCAAAACATTACATAGTTCTTGATATCTTAACAATATCGAGTCTTCCTACTAGTGAATATGAAATCTCTTGCTATTTATTTGGTTTATTTCTTACATCAGAATTTTGCAGTTTTCCTCCTGTAGATCTTGTAAATATTTTGTTAGACTTTTAAATACGTACAGTATTTCACATTTAGTGTTTGCTAATGTGAATTGTCTTGTGTTTAAATATCAAATTCTACTCCTTCATTGCTGGTACATAGGAAAGTGATTGACTTCTGTGCATTTTTAACCTTGTATTCTGAAGCCTGACTTTTCCTTTTTTTAAGCAGTGGACAGAGTCACCTTGTCCTCCTCCCTGTTCCCAAATCATTGCTTAGCATCAATGGGAACATTCTCTTATCCTAAAAGAGTCAAGTCAGCCCCCAACCTGATCAGAGAGGAAACTTTCTCTAATCTGGAAGTGGAGATGCAGACATTAACAAAAAATGCTCATTATCTAATGAGGGACTGTGGATCCTTTTGCCACAAAAATGTTCCTATGTGACCACATAGTGGTACAAAAAAATGGGAGGATGGTACTGAAAATAAGGATTGCAGAACCATTTTCTTTTTTCCTTCTCCTGGAGAAAGAAAACTGTAGACAGGGAAAAATAGAAAAGAAATGCTTTATTGAAATGACATAGGAAAAAAAAATTATACCTAGGAAACTCTTTTTCCCCTGAAAAGTCAAAACACACAAAGGTTTGATCAAAATAAAGATCTCCTTTGTCTGAAAATCCTGGTGTGCAGCCTTGGGCTCATGCTGTTTGTTTGGTACCATGGAAACACACTGTGGACAGCAGCAGATAAAAGCATGTCAGGGAAGAGACCAAAGGGCAGGTCTGATGTTTTCCTCACAAGACAGACAAGAAATAATCCTGATTGGTATTTGCTACGGAAAACACTAAACTCCTTGAAAACAAGAAACGCTTTCTTCCAGGGACCCTAAATGTTCTCTAAAAAGAATTCATAGATGTTTTAGTCATCCTTTAATTATAGATTCCACAGGTTTTTATTTTTGAGTGGAGTTCATATTATCAGGGGGGAACAGGGATATACAGACTGAAAACAATGTACAGACCACACAGAGAAAATGAGCAATAACTCAATATACTGAAGGTTTATAAAGACCCCGGGGCAAGAACCCCAAGACCCCTGACTTTAAATCTATTCACACATAGTCCAGTGGTTCTCAAGACTGGTGTTTATGGAACTAGGTGGTATCAAGGAGCTGTTAAGCTTTGAGAATTATTTATGTTTTCCATTTGAAAGGAAATAGTTGATGTTGTTTATATTAAAAAGGTCTCAAATGTTTTCTCTTCCAAAACATAGCTTTTGGAATAATTTTGTGCAAAGTAGTTAAGTCAAGCCTCACATAAATTCCCATTAAGTTACAGAAAAGGGGCAAAGTTCTGGGTGGGGATGTAACTTTGCCCTGCTTCTGAAGCACATTTTCCCTATTGTTGATACGTTTGGGGTAATTGAATGGCTGTCAACTTAAGGGTAATGATCTGATTCCCCTCATTTCTATCAATACACCAAGGGTAACTGTGGGTCTAGGTGGTTCAGTACATAGCTCCACACTAAGATACACAAATAGGAAATGGAACAGATTGTGGGATGGAATAAAATATCTGACATGTGGATGAGTCTCTCCTATCTGAATGTCAGCTTCAGAGAACAATGTGGTCTTTGGATACTATATAGCTATCCAGTGACTTGGTGGGAAATAAGATGGTCAACAGTTTTTAAGAACATTGTGGGTCTATTCCAAAGATCAAAAGGATTAATGCATGGAGCACTTGGACAGTTTCTTTTTAGCTTGGCTTGACTTCAAGCTGGGTTGAGAGTGGCTACATGGCAGAGTGATGTAGGTCCAATGGAAAACCCCCAACTTCCAAAGCATAGTTATAAACACATTTCTTGATCTGTTCAGGTGACAGTTCCCAATTGACTTATAGCAAAAATTAATTTTTAAAAAGGAAATGCTTCAAAATCTAAAAAAGCTTTTCATTCTGGTGACTATAGATTATTTTCTATACTCCCAGCAGAATAATTCCACCAGTAGTCCCACCATATGTAACACAAAAACCATTCAATTCACACATAAGACAAGAGGTAGTTTATGATAGCCCGGATGTACTGATTGCTTCCCCAGTTGAAAAACGACACTCTTCTGGATCCAGTACGTACAAGTTTAAAGATATGTGTGTGTTTCTGATTTAGTGAAAAATTTCCAGTATTTAAATTCAATGGTGGAACGCACAAAGAAGTTAGGTGATGGCATTTTAATAATTCATAGAAAGCATATATGTACACCCAATGAAGTCATCTTTATTGCATATTGCTATTTAAAAAAATGTACAGTCTCATAACACATACGACATTTTTTTTCTTGGTACTGTAACAACAGTCTTGCACCTAGAGACTAAGTGGTTCCAACTACTAAGCTAATAAGATACAAGACATATAATTAAGTTTACAAATTATAATGCTTTTTCTTTTTGGCATTAATTTAAAAAAAACAAACAAAAACTTTAAAATACACACCCAAGAGAGAAAAGTGGCTACTTTACACCAGCACCAATCTAAAAAGTAGTTTTTTTTTTTTGTTTGTTTGTTTGTTTTGTTTTCAACAATGGCACATGGAATTACCTGCACACAGTTTTCAGGGAAAGAAACCAAAAAATGGAAATGGCAAAGGAGGCCTACCAGGATGGCCATGACAAAATGAGGATGATTACCAAGGGCAAGAAGGACATGCTACACAAACTTGCTCCTTTTGTGACTCTCCTTCCACTAGTTCATTCCTTAAACTGTAAGACAAAGCCATTTTCAAAGTACAGTTCCAAAATTGAGCCAGACCAAATTTCTCCTACTATAAATAGAAAAAAAATGTACATAGAGGCACTTTAGTTAAGGAACAGAGAAAACCATCATCCTATTCCACTCCCCCTCCTCTCCAAGCCTGTTTGAGCCTAGTCTCCAATTGCACCTTTAACATGGTGTAGTTGCAGACCTTGGTTAACTAGGAGCTGGGGGAGTGTAACCTCTGCTTTGTATTTATAACTGTCATTTGCAAGAGTCATTTCCTTCCATCGAATGGGTGGAAAGTCGCTAAGTTTGCAATGAGGAAAAAATGTAAAACCACAGCTCTTGACAACTCTTAGAGCATTATTTCACAGCTTTCGTACAGCACAGATACTTCGCCATCTGCACTAAGCATTGTAGTTTAGACAAATCATTTTTAAATAGTATGAGTTCTGTACAGCACGCACATTGATTTTTTTATTCATCCCTGAATATTCTGATTAGAACGTAAGCTCCTTGTGGGCAGGGACTCTGTCTTGCTCATCACTGTAGATCTACTATGCCTGGTACATAGTAGATACTTAATAAATATTTGTTAGTTGACTGAAGAACTCAATTTTGTGAGTAAATAATGTTCTAGTGCAACAGGAAAAACTACTCTCTCCACAGGAAACCCAACCACGACAGGATAGATGGAAAGAAAAGAGAAAATGTCAGCCCCACCCCACCTCCCACCCCACTACAAATAAATAAAGCAAAAAAAAAAAAAAAAAAAAGTAACAGTCCTCTTTATATATCATATAATTTAAGGATATTGAAAGTTGGTAGGTTAATGGTAAGCATCTATATTTTATTTTCTAATGTTCATTGTTTTTATTCATTTCTCCCTGAGAGCTTTATTTTTTTGGACTGAAATTTTACAGGTAGCTTTACTGACACACAATTTAAAATGACAACATATAACAGCAAACCACTTTAAATATACTCAGAGATAAATAGATCTGGGCATCTCTACTGATGTTGATATTTTGTGACACTCTAAGTGTCCTTTAGTCCAGACCTATATTTACAGAAGATGTAGGTTGTCCTACAAAACAGAAATAGAAAAGACAAAAAAAAAAAAAAAAGGCACCCCATTAAAAAATTTTTAAAAATAATCTTTATCCTTTCAGAGAATTCTTCCTTTAAGTCTTGGGTGGAAATTTCTAAGATTTATATATCTATATTGTTAGAACAACAGGTACATTCTGGCAATCTTGTTCATTAACAAGGGCATGGGTTGCATTTAGATACTGTTTGATTTTTGTTTTTTTTACCCAAAAGCAATTTAAAGAAATCATCAAGAGCACTTGGCAGAAAACTTGATGAAATTGGGGGGAAGGGGGAGAAACTGATGTTTAAGCTTTAAATATACAAAAGAATTTTGATTGACATTCTACATAATACAAATTGTGTGCAAGATGTTCTTGAAAAACATTTACAGACTGTATCCCCAAATCAACATCAGGAATTTTAAGCTGATCCCATCAATTACTGATGTGATACTGGAACACCACATTGTCAACTATCAAAAAACCATTTTAAATCCATATTCTTCCAACTCCATTTTCACCAATGAAAATAATTTTAAAGTATAGCAAGCTTGGAAACTGTAAAATATTTCACAAGCTTTTTTTTTTTTTTTCTTTTTTCTTTTTTTATGCTAGGGAATGTCTGTCATCTCTTTTAGGAGATAGTTTTGTGCTTCTGAACAGTTACGGTGTTCAGGGAAAGAAAATGAGCCACACTCAATATGAATGCATATGCAAAGGGTTTCTGAGCACGAACGTTAACCGAAAATTTTTATCCATACATAGAGGTCTCCAGACGACACTCAGACTTCTATATACATTTTTACATATACACATACATTTACATACACACACATTCACACACACTCACAGATGAAGGAGGAAATTGCCACTGTTTGGATTGCAAGGCAGTGTAATGGAACGGTCTAGTCACTTCAAAGGGCTGCTACTGAGCTTTTTAGAAAAGAAAGTACTTGAGGAAAATTAAAAATTAAGTTTTGTGACCGGTCTCTCTCGGCTGCTGTCTGTCACCTGGTTGGAAATGCGTTTGCGATTCCGTTTCAGTTTAGAAAGGTCTTTGTCAAACACTTCTCCTGAGCGTAAAGCTGAAACGAGGTCATCAAACTCTCCGCTTTCCTCGATATTCTCTTTAGCTTTTCTTATTTTCCGCTCCCTTTCCCTTTGTTCTTTGAGCTGCAAATAGAAAGACACCTTTTAGAGAAGGGTTAAGATGTTGTATTTAAAAAAAAAAAAAGATGTTGTATTTTGTTTTCGGTGGGGATGAAGTCTGTGACATATGGTAGTGATTCAGTCACACCAAGCTCTGTTCACTTAAGCTGCTAAACTCTCCGGATGACACGAGAAAGGAGTAACTGGGACATGCATAAGATCTGACAGAAGAAATATTATGAATGGTGAAAAAAAAAATGACCCTCACCATCTAGATTCTAGGAAAATCTCATTATATATTCTTGTTTATAAAAGAATAATTAGGCAATTCGTGTGTCTGTAATGGAAAAACAAAGTTTACACTATTAAATAGGACCCCCCACCCCAAGTCCTGCCCAACCCTGGTTTCTTGAAGGTATAGAGACTAAAGCAAAATGACCATCAGGCCACGCCTCCCACCAGACACTTGGTCTGCATCTGGCATTGATGTCTGGAACAGGTTGCTGTTAATAAAAGTCAAACAAAACACAGACAATATAGAAAATTTTGATAATTGAGATAAAAAGCATTCTTTATTTGGTTACCAACAGATAACCACTGCTACTGAGCTTTTTAGAAAAGTACTTTTTGGGGCTTTATACTACCCACCATAATTTTCTATGCTAACATTTATTTTGCAAACGAAATACAACAAAAATGATTTCATGTGGAAATCATTTTGTAAGCTTTTGTGGATGATTAAATATTCTTTGAAGGCATGTCTTTTAAAAGACTCCACAAATATTTTACTAAAGAGCTATTACACCAATGATTACATGATATTCTATAATATTTCACCATGTGGCTATTAGAATTGATGACCTATTGGTAAATGTTTAGATTGCTTTCAGTTTAGAACTAGTATTAAAAAAAATGCTGCTTTCTTTGTGCAAATTTGTGATTATTTCATTTTTAATTACTTTTTTTTTTTTTAGTTGTCAATGGACCTTTATTTAATCAATTTATTTATGTATCTATATGTGGTGCTGAGGATTGAACCCAGTGCCTCACACATGCCAGGCAAGTGCTCCACCACTGAGCTACAACCCCAGGCCCAAATTTGTGATTATTTCCTTAGAGTAATTTCTAAGAAGTGGAGTTCCAGATCAAAGGATCTTGGATGTATTTTTTTTTTTTTTTTAAGTTTTTGGAGCTGTACCCTCAAATTGCCCAAGAGAGATCTGATAAAGTCCCAGGAACTTTCTAGAGAGCACAGCCATGCCCACCGTCTTGCCAGCCCAGCAAGGGCATCTAAAGAGCAAGGCAGCTGAGAACTTCTAGGGCTGGACCCGGCCGAGGATGCCCCTCACCTGTGCCTCCATTCGAGCTCGCCGCTCTTCCTCCTCCTTCCTTTTTCTCATGTTCTCATTCTCTTGCTTCGCTTCTGACACAGCTTGAAGGAACTGATCAAAAATGCCGAAGAACTCATCCGGCTGTATTTTGCCAGCCTCTTCCCCGAAGTGCTTCACTGCTTTGGTGAACTGGAGAAAAGAAGATTTTTAAGAAGCTCAGTGTTTTAACAGAATACCAGGATCAAATGGAAATTTCCCTAGAAGGACAAAAGCTCAAATGGAATCAAACATAACTTAACAGATTTTAGCAGGCCCGTTTTACCTTCAGCAGCTGAACACGTCTGTTCATTCCTTCTAAAGTGAGAATATTAACATGCTTCAAATTTGGAAACCATTTTATTCCTTTCCACCTCATTTCAGCTTAACATCTAAGACTACCTCCTATGACTTTTTATTAACTAAACAATAGTAAAAACAAGAAAGCAAAATATTGAAGGGCAGAACACCCAAGACACAAAAACTAATAGCAAGCTCAGCAGGGGTAGGAAACCTTGTACTTTTAACTTGTCTTTGAAGTAGTTTAATATCATTTATTGGTGCCATATGGTGAATATCGAAAGCAAATGGGATCCAGTACTTCTTAGCTGCTTTTCCTAATCATAAATAATGTTAGTATTGTTATAATATTTCCAGGGTCCTAATTAGAAAACAATAACTGATTATGGAGTCACTCCTGCAACCCCCATTTTTTTTTTAACCTCAGTATCAAAATGGAATGGTTTTAACATTCATTTGGCAGAATCATTACATCACTGGTTGCAACCCCTTATTTTTGACTGAGAAAAATAATTTTATTTCAACCCTTTATCCCAGAAAGCCTTTCAGTATCAAATCTTTCTAAAACTGCCAAAATGTAAAATATTAAGGGAACACTTAAAAAATTTAAATTTAAATATATAGTAACAAAAGAAGAACATCCAGTTTCTTTTTAAAAGTTTCAACTGTTTCTCTTTTCAGTTCTTTCAGTAGTTCATAACTCAGGACAATCCACTTTCAACTGTCTGCATTATGATAACCACATTCAAGGCCAGTTGGGCAGTTTCTTCTGTAAGGGTCTGAGGCTTCTAGGCCTCAACTACCAAGGACAGTGCTCCCAGCTTCAAAGACAAAATGAATTTTCTTTCTCTATGTCTAATCACTCACTTAAGATTTTTCAGACTTTATTTAGACCATGACAGATTTTTGAAGTTCGCTCAAACTCAAAAAAGTTTCTAATTGATTTTACTTGCCTTTATTATATTGCTGTTTTTCAGATATTTTGATAATACTATGGAGCTTAATGGGAACGTTTTCAATATTCTTAAAAAAGCCAATTTCAGCTAAAGTTATGCATCTATATAGATATAAATATTTACATGACATTTTATAATTAATATTTCATATTTTAAAATTTATAGTATTTTAAAACCATTTTTCTTTTTTACTGTGGAGTTATTTTCAATATTTTACTTATTTGGAAATTTTCTATTATTAAAAAGGGCCCTTTAGGGGAAAACATAATGTTCTTCACGTACCGCATTATAGTGCTCCAGCTTGCTCCATGGTTTTATAAGCTAATTTCTAAAAGTTCTGGTATGAACAAAATTGCAATAAACAGTCGACAGCTGAGTTTCTAAAACATTTAAGTTCATGCACTTCAACGCATCGTGAATGATCTTGTTATCTAGGAATTCTAGTGATGATGAAATCATATGTATTTTAGTCTCAGAAATCTGAAGGAAACTAGGGCTAGATTAAAGTCCCCTACCCTCAACACAAAGTAGGTTTCATATGTGTGTGTGCGCGCCTGTAAATGTGTTTAAATAAAAACGAACTATCCAGTTTTCTCTTATAAAAATGTTTGCGCTCCTTGAAAAGATAGGTACTTTGCTGGGGTATCAGGGCAGGAGGCGACTCTTCCTTCAGAGTGCACCCTCCAAAGTGGTAAATCCCACAAAAAGTAGGAATGGGGGCTTTCACAGTGAAGGTTCAAACCAAGGTTGTTGCATCATTTGACTGATTTCCAGTGTGGGATATTAGAGGTTGGACCTCAGAAAGGAGCAGTTACTTGAACATATATAATCTTCTCATTTATTTCATGAGGCTGAAGAGTGAGTTTACTGTTGAGATTAGTTGACACTTGTGAACACAGTCCACTTCTGAACTTGAACTAGAGTCTGTAAACTCTTACGTGACCAATCATCCACACCTACAACTCAACAGGACTACTGAAAAATGACAGGAACTACAAGTTTGGAAGGAAAGATTGAAGTAAAAGAACAGAGTGGTGGCAAATGAGAGATGGGTCAAGCTGAAGAACTCCATGGCATATGGTAGGGGCTTAATATCACTTAAAAAAAAAATGAGAAACAGAGAGAAAAACAGAATGTGTACCCGTGTATGTATATTAAAGAAGAAATAATTGAGGTGGTGGGGGAGAGAGAACAAGGGTATGGAGGCTTATTTAAAAGTCTTGGTTAGCTGCCAATGAAAACTTTTTCTCCACAGGAAAATAAAATTTGAAATAGCAAGAATCATAAAAAGAAATGTCTTGCTAAAACTAAAAAAACAAAAACCAACAACAAAAACAACCACTTGTCATGAAACTGTGAACTAATATGCATCTAATTTAATGAGTTTTGCTGGTAGTGTCCCGTCTTCTTAAAGTTCTCAGACAAGTATATGCCTAAAGAGGTCTGAAGCATGTGGCATTCGTTATACCTGCTCCTGTTCATCATCTGTTCTAGTTTCCAGAGATAAGCACATGAATCCAAAAGCAAGCAAGAGAAAACTGTCAGTATTTACTGGTTTTACACCATCCCAAGCCTTCAAGATCTTGCTAACCTAAAGGTAACACAGACCATTTAGGCAACAAGGGTATGTTTCAATGAATTACAGTCCTGGAGATGAAAATCTACCCAAGCAATGAACAACAATGGAATCTGGAAAACAATTATCTGCTATTTTATTTCCTGAACCATGATATTTGGATCCCATTCCTGCTGTTCCCCAAAAAGCATCATATCTGAAAGTAACAAGTGAAAACCCAGCCCAGTCAAACAGTGTGCTAGAGGGAAATTTACCAGGTCTTTAGCTTCTGCTAGAAGATCTTCAACATCGGAGAAGCTGAAGCTGGCTAAGGTGATGAACTGGCTGACAACGGAAACAAACTTATCTCCAGGCTGTGAGGGCTGAGACTTCTGATATTCCAGTTCCTTAAACAAAGGAAATGGAGAATGATAACATAGGCTTCAAATATAGGCAAACTTTGTCTCTTATCCTATATTCCTCAAATTTAATCACTCAGCATGGACAACACATCTAAAATATCTTGTCATACTCTAGCTTCACCTACCCTTGCTCACACCATACCAGAGACAGGGCCCTATACATGTGCATTTTATAAAACAGCAATTTAACCAATTATCTGAATATTTTTCTCAGTGCAATCTCTTATTCTGACTTTAGAAGGTAAGCAAAAAAAAACAAAACAAAAAAAACTAATAGAAGTTAAACAAATAACAAATAAGCAAATTGGATTCAAAGGGATTGTGAGTGAAAGTAAGAGACTTTGATGGTTGATATTTTGTACTCGGAGTTCTAGTGGCTTGTTTTTTTTCTTTTTCCTTTTCTGCCAAATCTATTTACTTCCTAAACCCTGGTATCTAGGTCAACAGAATTCCAGTTGTAGAGTCAGACACCATAATCACCTACCATTTGTTTTCCTGTCCATACCATCAGGTTTTTGTGAGTAGGCAGGCAGAATAACTAGTTTCTTATTAATTTTCTATATTCTCCATTACCATGTTAAGGAACATACCGGTGATTCACATCAAATTTCAAAAATTAATTTCTACCATTGCAAGATACCCTTTCTTACTGAATGCCTACAGCACCTCCATGAGTAAGGCATCTTGATCCCCATCAAGATTTAGAGAGATTTAATTCTTTGCCCAAAGTCAAGAGGCTGACCAGAGATAGAGGCAGAATTTGAAGTTTGGTCTGTCTGCCTCCAGAGTCTCAGCAACAGCGATGCAGTGCACCTACTGACTTAACTCGATCCCCTTATTTTATTTATTTATTTTTTTGGCACCTGGTTTAGCAAAGAGATTAAGAAGCAGGAGTCACAGGCTGTGAATTCTGACTCAGCTTTCCCCATGGCAAGCTGCTCTGGACCTTAGTGGCTTCATTTTTCAAAGGAGGGGAATATCCATCTCAACATGAGGATCAGTGAAATTATAGAAGTGAAAACTTATAAAGTATGGAGCTGACTCTCACTGGAAGAAACTGCCACCATTCTAGTACTCTGGCTGGAAAGTGTAAGTGCATGCTGGATATAGGGATGGGAAAGCCATCTTAGTGTGTTTCATTAATGTATTATTTTTAAAATTCCATCTCTGATATCTTTAAACAATATAATTAATTGGGCAAAGCACAATTAGGACACATGAATATTGGGCAGGCCACGCTCTGCCTCCCAGTGTTTTCTTGCGAGGCTACACCTTGACATTTAAGCTGCCAGGGGGAGCAGAAGGCTTCTTCAGCGCCTTTTCTATGCAGAATGTGATGTAGTACATATGACCCAGAGGATGCAGAGACTCAGCAACACTCTCCTTTAAAAAAATTCAAAACCAGGACTTCCTTGGAACATGGCCCCTCCACCTCCCTGGCCTTGGTCTGAGTTAGCTCAGATGCAAGTGTCTGAAAGTCCATTATCAGGCTTAGGACTGTCAACTGCCATCCTAGTCTCCAGAAAGTTCCCATGGGGAGGAAAAAGCACCTGAGTGAAGGTTATTAAACATGTCTTGCCCAAAGTGCCCTGATCCAGCCTGGTCTTTCTCTGAAGGCTGGGGAGAACTGTCTATGTGTTCTATAACTTTGGGCCAATGACACAGGGGCTAAGAGAAAGAGTTTACTTTTAGCACCTTCAACCCTTGTCCTGCAAAACCCCAAACAACTCTTATACGCTCCTAAATTTATAAAAACAAAAAATTAGATGTTATGATTTTAACCTTTTATAAGTAGTATGCCTTAAATGAATTCAGTACTCTCTATGGCATAATTTTGTGATTAAAAAAAAAAAAGGAGGGAAGGTCTCTGTAGCATTGTGATAAATGATCTGGAAGATATTTAAGAGAGGGGCACCTTTCCAAGTTGCCTGGATCAGTCTCCTTCACCAAGTGCAGTCCAGAGCTAGGCGTCTTCTCCAAAGAGAGCTTGCCAATGATCCCCTTTGGCTGTCTTGATTCCCATCCCTGGTCTTTCTTTCACTTAGAGGTAGCGCATTTGCACAGTACCCGCCTGGCGTTATGACATATTTCATTTCTCCCAATCCTCTCTGCCTGTGAGACCAGGGTCCAGGTTGTCTCATGTAAACTGGCACAGCCTCCCTCTGTGCATCTATTTGTCCCATTCTCCCTCTGATCTGTGCTAGTCTACAAACCTCCAGACTACCCTCAATCCAGTCCCTTCCTTTAGGCACCTTTGTAATCATTGTGCTTATCTGGTCATGACATTATGTGGAGAACTGGCTTCTCTTAATGATTGCAACACTAGAGGGCAAGGATTCCAAATCCTGTGACCCCTTCCCTTCAGCATGGCAGGCACACCCTAGCATCTGCCTGGTAAATACTCGGCAAAGGACTGGCTCAAAGACAGCAGAGAAGTTCTTTTGCTCTACTGAAGGTAAACATCAGATAGTAATAGGACTTGGAGACTGAAAGGGTCCTTGAAGATTGTCTAGCCCAGCTCGCTCATTTGGACAAGACTTGCCTCCTAGGTAAATTGGTGGTACTCCAGGTCTACTTCTAGCTACTGCTATAGTGACTCACCTACTACCCACAACTGAGCCACCAAGCTGGACACAATATAAGACCCATCTTGGCTTCTTGGTGATTGCTCTTTTTTTTTAATCAGCAAATGTTCATCCTGGGCAGGTCACGAGCCAAGGCAACCCACAGCTCCTGTGCTGAAAGTCACCAGCACCATGGATGGCAAAGAGACTGGGACTCAGAGAGGGAAACAAATACTCACTGTCTCCACTGCTTTCAAGCCACTTCTCAAGGTACTTATTTCCTTGTCCAGCTCAGTCATGCTGTTATAAAAGGTAACATTTTAGTAATCAGCATTCGATTTAAGTGGATTAAATATATAACGGTTTTAAATATTTCACACTTAGAAGTTCATACCAGTTTATTTTAAATGTTTTTGAAAAAAATTCCCTTCCTTGTTTGGATCTCACAGAAGGACCACATCTTAAATTTATGGAATTTAGGTACAGAATTATGTTTTCTGTTTTCCACAGCCAGCAGGTATATTTTACAGGTTAAAAATAGCAAAAGAGAAATGTCTCCCATGTGTACAGAAATATTTTATGCTTCAGCCTCAAAAAATTCTCTCTGCAGCGAGTTACTATATGTAGAAATACATTTCTTGCCATACTTGGCTCTCTTTGAGAGAGCAAAAGAAACTGGCTTACCCACAATCACATCCATCAATATACGACTTTTCACCAAGGCTTTGGTAATGTATTACAAAGTAATGTCGCATTTCAGTCAGCAATGACTTTTTTTCAAGATTGTACTAACTCATCTTATTTTCATTGCCTTTTACTTTTTATTAGAGAAAGATTCCTGAGCTTCTCCTATAATGCTTTCTATTTCATGGCTTTTAAACAACAGAAATTAAAACTTCATTCTTACAGATATTTCACAACAAAGAAACTCACCAATACTTCATTTACTTTAATATTTTATTTTCATGGTGTATTTACATGGTATATTTCTACCCAATTCTACAGAGGGAATAAACTAGCCTGATTATAGGACTTTTCAAGTCAGAGTTAAAAAAAAAAAAAGAGATGCAGTTTAGATATACGTATTTTTTTTTTTTTTTAAAGAGTCAAAAGTGGGAGGGAAGAACTGTAAGGAAAAATTGCCTGCTCTTCAGTCTCTGAAACATGGTGTAAAGTTTCTGGTGAGAGTTTGGCAACTTCCCATTGTATTTTTAGTTTCTTGATCTGCATATAGACTGCTTCCCATTAGAGTGTTGCCTTGGTTTCAGAGAGTGTGTTCATATGTGAAAATTACTAGAGACACTCTTACATGTTTGTAAGTCTCCATTTGCCTAACCACGCATCCTCCTTCAACTTAGGTGGCTCCTTCCTGTGTTTAATAGAACTGCACTTTAAAGGCATCACTGAAACCATATTCTTTTCCTATACTCTTTAATAACTCAGAATATTAGGTTATATAGACCTAGAAAAATCTATATTTCAAAACCTTGTAACATTTGAATGATTTGAATACAATTCAAACTTTATGTCATGTAACGTTTGGAGGAAAACAAACAGGAGGACCCAGGTCACGCAGTTTACCTCATGCAATGCTAAGAAACCTTCTCAATGGCTAACCTACAGTCCAGGTGATTGACAGAACTGCAATAATTCACTAAGAGTACTTACTTTACTTTTGCCGCTTGAGGAATATCCCGCAATTCTTCATTTAGATTGAGAACCTTGGGGTATTTATTTTCCACAATAGTTATTAGATAGTGCAAAAGGGTAATGTTCCTACAATTAAAGAAAGGAAGCGCATTCAACATAATTAATCTGCGTATGATTTATATGCTTAAGAGGCAGAACCCACAGTAATGCTAGACTCCTGCATTAACTTTATAATTTGGGGGTTCCGGAAAGGCAGGGGCTCTCAAAAGCAGAGGAGAATGAGAGCCTAAAAAGAAATGGTTAGGATAAGAATTATATTTTTATAATTCTTATAATTTTTATAATTCAAGGACGTTGCCCTTGGTGACAAAAGTGAATCTGAACCATCGCCAATGGAGAGAAGATCAAGTTTACCTTTATAGAAGATCCATCCCCAAATGGGGTGTGCCATGCAAATTCATAGCAAGCAGAATTAGGCGGGTTGGGGTAAGAAGTGAGAGATGTTTCACCCACCAAAGAGAGTAGCTATTTTCAAGACTAGAAGTACTTGAAATACTTTTCAAGTCTAAAAACCAACTCACTGATAACCATTATTACTCAAGATTTCATCCAAAGGGCAGACAGAAAGTTAGAAAGTCTCCTATTTCAGGGCTGAACCTGGAAGTGGGCCATAACTGTGCCATCAAGTATATGACATCCTCGCAGCTGTGAATACAGTTCTACTTTTAGCAACACTTCAGCTCTTAACTGCATAACCCTTAGTACTTAAAACGGTTGGCTGTGCCAACTCCCTCTCTAGTGGTGAGGGTGGTGACAGGGCTGAACCCTGACTGACCCAGATTGAAAAGGGTGGGGGGAGTGTCTGATAACACTATCAGGCAAAGCTGTGTTAGTCTGGTCCTGCTGTCACCAACTCTGCCGCACATTACCATCACCTGGGATCCAGATGCCTGGGCCAATCCCAAAGACTCATTTAATTGGAATAAGGTGGGGCCAGGCATGGATGTTTGTTAAAATTCCCTGGTGACTCTAATATTCAGCTAGCACCAAGAACTAATCTACCGAAGTTTCCATAACCAGGAGGATACAAATGCATTTCTCTAGAAGCATTTCTATAATATGGGTAGTTTGCTAATTTGCAACACTAAATAATAATATTCCTGCCCACATCTAGCCAAAGTGAATCAGAATTGCCATTTTCTTTCCTATATCCATGAAAAGCATTTCTGATTATGTTTGCAGCTTCATACATATGATACATTCCTAATCCTCAGTCAAGGACTCATATTTTAAAAAATTCCTTTATTTTTCTTCAATAATCAGAAAACATTTGCCCGGCAAATCAAAATAGTGGCCAATAATTCTGACCACTTAGGATTCCGGCGTTTAGCTGTGTCTTTCCAACTGTATTCTGCTGTTCATAAAACCTATCTATCTGCCCTGGTGCCTCTCACATAAGGGGTAAAGGGAGGGAACGAAATGCCAGATACCATCACAGGAAAGAGTAGTGCTACTTTTCTCCATTTTCATAGAAAAATGCTTTGTTATTTAGAGCAATTGAGATAACTTTAACTATACAGACCTTTCTTATTGCAGAAAGCCTTGAAATCAGGTCAGACATTTCTGCATTTGTTTGCTATCCAAATAACACCCCATTTGACTAAATACAAATTCTTGAAGAATGAACAACTAAACAGCCACACATTTGACTACTCCCTGATGGTCACCAGGAGCTTGAGGCTTCCCTGCTGACTGTGTCTCCATTAAGCAGTTTGGTGATATCCAGCTGAACAAGTGTTGAATGTGTGACTGCTCAATGGCCACGTGCTACATTAGGCACTGTGATATAGACACATTGATGCTACATTTGGGGATGAAATATTCACAGGCAGAAAGAGGAAAAAGAAAGATCAGAAAATGTTTTGATTTATTCTTTGAAAATGTTTGTTCATTAGATTAATTCTATAACAAGCTAAATGAGTCAATAATCACATAAGTACGAGGTTATTGGTGAGTGTGTGAGTGTGTGATCTGCCTCTGTGTGTGCATGCATATGCAGTCGAAGAGAACATTCTTTCTTAAAAAGGTCACTGCTCCTAATATGCAAATCAGAGACTGCCAGTCCCTGGTCCAACCTCCAAATAAGACCCAACTGTTGGCAAGGGCAGAACTATAGACAAACCAACAGAACAGGTGTTAAAGACCTGTGAGGACAAATACCTTGCTTGGGGTGACCTTAGGCAAGCATTTTATCTGACAAACAGTTGATAACAGATTTGGCTTGTGAATTTCACAGGCTGTTGTGACCATTAAATGTGAAAGTGCTCTGAAAAGGATCAAGTCCTCACATTAAAAGTAAGGTGGCAAAGCTATAATACAACAGCTGCTCTTCATCACTCCTTCTCTCCATGATACAAAAATGACAGCTTAGCCCATTTCCTATTTCTTTTAAGATGGATTGAGAGTTGCCATATGCTATGCTTCACTAACTCTATTGAAAATATAGGGTAAAAAGCCTCATTAGCTGGGAATAATTAGGATGAACAGCCAATACCCCTAAAAAGATTTGGGTGCAGAGCAGCTTACCTTAGAAACAATTGTGTAAGTTCCTTTGAAGTCAGTGAGAACCTTGGAGAAACAAAGCTCTCAGGGAAACTAGAGTTAATATGTGTAATGACCCTACCTGCCATCGACACAAGAGCATTTTCATGTCTTGGTGTTTCTAACCAGAGTCTGTTCACCTAAACTGCAGCGTTGGACACTTTCTAGGAAGCATTTTAATGAGTCTTGGGATGAGCAGCTGAATACCAATGGCCAAAATGCATTTATGCATCACAAGTTTTTTGGATAGCTGTTAGCACCAGTGTGTGAAAGGAAAACATAACCTAAAAACCCAGTGAACTTCACCTTCCCAGCATCGGCTATCAAGTTTTCCTTCTCTCTGGAATATAGCTCTCTATGGAGCAGTAGTGACTAGGGGGCCATGGGGAGACTTCCAGAAAGCTAGTGGTATTCTGCTTCTTATCTTAGTCATACAAGTGTACTCAATTTCTCAAAATTCATCAAGATGTACATTTATGCTTAGTGACCTCTCTTTAGTGTAATATACTATAATTAAAAAGTTTACAAAAAAAAAGACAGGGCTAATTAAAAAGAAATCTGAAATAGATGGTATCCCTATACATTGAAAATGGATGAAGGATAACTGCACCCCGCCCCCCGCCCCAAACTTGGGGGATGCCCGTGGTTATGAGAGAGGAGAAGGGAGTTCATGTGAGAGAAGAGTACTGACAAAGAGAAGTTCAAGCTGGAGACTGGAGTGTCATGGAGGCCAAGGAAGATCAGAAAGAACAACTCAAGCCCTACCTAAGCACCCAGATGCTGTTAGTGTTGGAAGATTCTACACTTACTTGTCAATACTGGATTTTGTGTCAGCAATCTTGTTGAGGCTGGAAATCTTGAATCCATAGGCATTGCCTCTTTGGCCTTTATTCATGTAATTTCCAAATGCCAAAACCACCTCTAGCAACTGCTTGAGGGCGCCACTCCTGAATACTTCTTCTGAGCCAGAACGAATTGCTTCAAAACAAAACACGAAAACACAACTATTATCACCAGCACTTTCAGTGATACCTGTCCTAAATTGACATACCCTAACAAATATTGAAGATGTAAAACTGGGTCATTAGACTGCCAAGGAACACTTTCAAAACATCTAAACCTGAAGCAAAGGATAAGGGGACATCCACAGATGGCTATTGATTCGTCTCCTTTCTCAGTCCTTTTCTGGTCTGACTCACCAACCTTGAGCTTTTAGGAATACATGGAATAGCAACTCTTCAACATTCCTTTGCAAATACTTTCAAGCCTGGGGTGAGTCAGATCAGTAGGATTAGTGATCAATTCCACTGATAAAGAACTGATCAAATATGTTACATGTTCTAGTTTGCAGATGTCAAAACAGGGATTGAAGCTCAAGCAGACTCTGATTCTAGTTCACATTCTGTAACTGTGTTTTCCGGTGGCCTCGCCCACATCTAAAATATTTAAAAACTTAACAACCTCAAATATACCCTTAGAAAAATGTGCTAAGGCCCTGTTGCAAGAAAGCTAATTGCAGGTTTAATGTTAGTAATGGTCAAATTCATTTCTTAGTTACACCCATGTGGTCAAAAGCCCAGCCATGCAGTTGAACTCAGGAGGTATGCCAGGCCAGGCCAGCATGCCAAGTGCTGACCTTAAGTAATTGTCCATTGGAAGTTCAAGTTTACATTTTTTTTTTTTTTTAAAACCAGGGGCACTTTATCACTGAGCTATATCTCTAGTCCTCTTCATTTTTTATTTTGAGATAAGGTCTCACTGAATTTCTGTGGTTAGCTTGGAACTTGTGATCCTCCTGCCCAGTCACTGGGATTTACAGGTATGCAACATGATGCCCAGCTGTCCATCAGAATTTCAAAAGATTTCAAGCAAAAAAAAAAAAAAAAAAAAAAAAGAAATCACCACAGGGGCTCTGATTACTATGTTCATTTGGATGGAACTTGTAAATGGGCACTTAAGACAAACATCGCTCCCAACCTAGGTGGCTCTGCTTTACCTTCTACTTTGGGTTTCACTTCTGCCACGCGCTCTGCAAACTTCTTTTTGAAGTACAGCGATTGCAGTCTTTGCTGGTAATGATTGATTCTGTAAGACCAAGCATGCACTGATCAGCATTCACTAAATACAAGAGCCCATTTCTGCACTGGATATTTGGGCCATTGTCCCAGAGCCCTTAGCTCCAACCAAATAAGGCAACTACTGAAGAAAGGGAGAGCCAGCTGCTGTTGCTAAAGCCCCCTTCATTTCCTCAGAGTGCCGGCAGCTTGAACGTACAAGAGATGAAAGGAATAAAAGTGTAAGGGCTCTCCACCTACTGCAAATAAAGGGCAGTTTCCCAAGTTGACCTTTTCACAATATTTGGCTTTTGACCAAACTCTAAAGACCTGTCTCCAGCATGCTGCCCCTCCATCAATCCTCTCCTCACTCTCATTCCCAAACCTTCCTTTTTCTTCACAGTTAGCTCCTATCTGTTCCCCTCAGGGATGGAAAGCTTTGCCTTCTCAGGCAGCAACTAGAGAGAATAAGGGTGCACACTGGCCTCTCATCACCACTGAGCTAAGCTGTCTTATTGCTGGGGGTTAGAGTAAGCCTTCTGAAGTCAGTGCCTAAACCATTTATGGTAGAAGTTTCAGTTCAACTATACCATATAATCTAACAGACTTGAGTGGGCAGCCCAGATGCTCCTTGTATTAGGTGACCTTGAGCAAGTACCAAAACTCCTCTGAGTCTCGTTTCCCTTGTTGGTAGGTGGAATAAAATACCTCTGTCCCTGGGATCTCCCCCAGGCAGGTCTGAGAAGAAGATTAAATGAGATGATACATGCAAAGATCTAGATGCTTAATAAGTGGTAGGTATTGCAGGTGGCTATTTACTTGTCTATACTGAAGATTGTTGGGTGTACCTGTCAAAATTTCAAAGTCATTCTTTGTCTGACATTAGTACACAAAATGGCAAATTGTGATAGAAGAAGAACATCAAAAAATAGGTCTGGACATGGCAGGAATGCAGAGAGAGAGAGAGATGTGTTCCCCTTGGCTGCATTTGTAGGCCTTTAGCACTGAGGGGAAGAACTGCCCTGAGGTTCACTGAAGAGTTTCAGGACCATTGCTCCTTCTCTAATGCAGAATCAATTTGCTAGGCCTGGAATGACAAATAGACTCAGCTTACATGCCAAACCCAATTATGAGGCACAGACTGCCTCAGGGCTTTCTGGAGAACGGCTCAGAAAGCTTGCCAATGCTCCGCTCTGTGGGAAGAGTGCCACGATTGATTAGTGATGTCTGCATGTGTCACGATTTGACATTCAGACCCTGGCCATTCAGTTATGGCAGCACCAGGTTGACATTAACAGAGTCTGACCATTTTTCTTTTTCTATTTTATAACAATCTTGAGATGCCAAGGTACTAGGATGTATGAGTACTGTCCCCTAAACTCAAATTGGTGAGTACTGACGGGAACTAGGAAAGTTAAGGCTTGCTAAGACCAAAGTACATAAGCCAAAGGGACCCAGAAATAGAGATGGTTGTGAAAAAAACCAGCCCTGATCCTGGCTTATCCATGGAAAAGAACTCACATAAACAGAACAATCAAATTCCACATAGAGTTAAAAGATTTTAGAATTTAAAAAAGCTTTAAGTTGAGCCAGGTTAATTGGCCCAAGCAATTTAATGCGAATTGCCATTACTAGGGTATGAGACATCTTTCATTTTTCGGCATCTTCAAACTCACCGGCTCATCTCAAACAGAAATCGATCAGCCTTGGCCATCCGATCCAATTCATGCTTATGTTCCTCCAACAGGTCAATATCACTTTTTTCAGGAACAAATTTCAAAAGCTAAAAAGTACATGCAAATATTAAATCTAAGGTTAATAACTTAAATCTCTGCAGTAAGTTTTCACCATTCTAGCTAATTTGTCCCAATATGAAATTTTAACTTTTGTTTAACATATAAACTCTGCTCACAGGTCTATGTTACAGTAGAAATAATTAAATATTTACATTTTTACTTGAAAGTAGTTAAAAGATTGACATCTGGCACTTTCTTATTCTCTACTACCTCTCAAGTAAGAGTTGTGGAAGTTCTCTACCAGGACCCATTTTGCACAGGCCATTAGAAAGAGCTGAGAGATTCAGCCCTCTCATTGAAAGTGATATAACTGAGGACCAGAGAGATTAAGCAACTCACCCAGATTACAAAGCAAGTTTATGTAACTGTCAGAAACAGAACCCAGGTTTCTTTGACTCCTACCTCCATGCTTATTCTATTATATCATGATGGAATGAATGATCCTATTTGCATTTTTCCATTCAGTTTGCTTATTTTTCTTCTTATCTAATTACACCTCCTTTATTGTTCCATGTAGAACTAATGAGAGGAACAAAGTGGGATCTGATGTTTTTGATTCCATGCTTTATTTTGGAGGGAGAAATGATCATGGAATATGGAAAAATAGCAACAATAAAGTTGAAAAAGTACTTCTGTGTGTCTGATTTCCTTTCAGTTTGTATGTATATGTGTAGAACTATGCAAGCATACTATTTTCTTTTTTTTTTTTAATTTTTTTATTGGTTGTTCAAAACATTATAAAGCTCTTGACATATCATATTTCACACATTAGATTCAAGTTGGTTATGAACTCCCAATTTTACCCCAAATACAGATTGCAGAATCACATCGGTTACACATCCACATTTTTACATAATGCCCTATTAGTAACTGTTGTATTCTGCTACCTTTCCTATCCTCTACCATCTCCCCTCCCTCCCCTCCCATCTTCTCTCTCTACCCCATCCACTGTAATTCATATCTTTCCTTGTTTATTTTCCCATTCCCCTCACAACCTCTTATATGTAATTTTGTATAACAATGAGGGTCTCCCTCCATTACCATGCAATTTCCCTTTTCTCTCCCTTTCCATCCCACCTCATGTATCTGTTTAATGTTAATCTTTTCTTCCTGCTCTTCCTCCCTGCTCTGTTCTTAGTTGCTCTCATTATATCAAAGAAGACATTTGGTATTTGTTTTTTAGGGATTGGCTAGCTTCACTAAGCATAATCTGCTCTAGTGCCATCCATTTCCCTGCAAATTCTGTGATTTTGTCATTTTTTAGTGCTGCATAATACTCCATGGTGTATAAATGCCACATTTTTTTTATCCATTCATCTATTGAAGGGCATCTGGGTTGGTTCCACAGTCTAGCAATTGTGAATTGTGCTGCTATGAACATCGATGTAGCAGTATCCCTGTAGTACGCTCTTTTAAGGTCTTCAGGGAAAAGTCCAAGAAGGGCAATAGCTGGGTCAAATGGTGGTTCCATTCCCAGCTTTCCCAGGAGTCTCCATACTGTTTTCCAGATTGGCCGCACCAGTTTGCAGTCCCACCAGCAATGTACAAGAGTACCCTTTTCCCCACATCCTCTCCAGCACTTGTTGTTGTTTGACTTCATAATGGCTGCCAATCTTACTGGAGTGAGATGGTATCTTAGGGTGGTTTTGATTTGCATTTCTCTGACTGCTAGAGATGGTGAGCATTTTTTCATGCACTTGTTGATTGATTGTATGTCCTCCTCTGAGAAGTGTCTGTTCAGGTCTTTGGCCCATTTGTTGATTGGGTTATTTGTTTTCTTATTGTTTAATTTTTTGAGTTCTTTGTATACTCTGGATATTAGGGCTCTATCTGAAGTGTGAGGAGTAAAAATTTGTTCCCATGATGTAGGCTCCCTATTTACCTCTTTTATTGTTTCTCTTGCTGAGAGAAAACTTTTCAGTTTAAGTAAGTCCCATTTGTTGATTTTTGTTATCAACTTTTGTGCTATGGGTGTCCTATTAAGGAATTTGGAGCCCGACCCTACAATATGTAGATCGGAGCCAACTTTTTCTTCTATCAGACGCAGAGTCTCTGATTTGATATCTAGCTCCTTGATCCACTTTGAGTTAACTTTTGTGCATGGCGAGAGAAAGGGATTCAGTTTCATTTTGTTGCATATGGATTTCCAGTTTTCCCAGCACCATTTGTTGAAGATGCTATCCTCCCTCCATTGCATGCTTTTAGCTCCTTTATCAAATATAAGATAGTTGTAGCTTTGTGGATTAGTCTCTGTGTCCTCTATTCTGTACCATTGGTCCACCCTCCTGTTTTGGTACCAGTACCATGCTGTTTTTGTTACTATTGCTCTGTAATATAGTTTTAAGTCTGGTATCGCTATACCGCCTGATTCGCACTTCCTGCTTAGAATTGCTTTTGCTATTCTGGGTCTTTTATTTTTCCATATGAATTTCATGATTGCTTTATCCATTTCTACAAGAAATGCCGTTGGGATTTTGATTGGCATTGCATTAAACCTATAGAGAACTTTTGGTAATATCGCCATTTTGATGATGTTAGTTCTGCCTATCCATGAACAGGGTATATTTTTCCATCTTCTAAGATCTTCTTCTACTTCTCTTTTTAGGGTTTTGTAGTTTTCATTATATAAATCTTTCACCTCTTTTGTTAGGTTGATTCCCAAGTATTTTATTTTTTTTTTTTGAGGATACACTGATCTTCTGAACTCTGAGATCCTCTCTGTAATTTGGTGCTGGCATTGGGTGGTCCCTTTTGTAAGGTTTTCAAATGTTTGTTGGGATTTAGCTGGAAGACTTCAGAAAGAGCAGTGAGCCTGAGTGCTACCAGCAGAGGAAGAGAACTGGAACTATAGGGAAGGAGGCATGGGATTCAGGCTTTCTTTTGAGGGCATTAGGATATCCCTTAAACATCTTATGTAGGAGAATGAGTTTGTACTTTTAAAAGATCAGCATGTTTATGGAATGGAGAAGGAAGTAGGAGGGATCAAAATTGTTAGGGGGTCATGAGCAAATAGTTGGTGCAGTCATCCAGGTGAGAGATGGTGGTGGCCTGCATTGGGTGGGGATAGAAGATAGATTTTAGTGCTCTTTAGGAAATTTGAATAGCACCGGCCTGACTTGTAATGGATGAGTTGTAGTAAAATAAGGAGGAAGAGTCAAGGATGAAGCCTGGGCTTCTGCCTCAGGGAAAAATATACAAAGCATAACAAGAAGAAAAGCCGGGAAGTGGCCCAGGGATGGGAAGGTGGGTTTTGTGGTTGCAATTACTTGCAGGAGAACCAAAGAAGGATTTCTAGGAGGTCGTTGGACATATGGGTCTGAAACCCTAAAGAGATGTATTTGGAAGACAAAGTCATGGCATTGGTTGTAGCAGAAAGGCTACTAAGCTCACGGATGTGCGTGACATAAGTAGAGGAACTGTCCAGAGGAAGAAATTCAGGGCTGGAGAGAACCAACAATCAAGGGATGAGGACAAGAGGAGGAGCGTTCAAAGGAAGCAATGGAGAAGGTACAGCTGGAGAGGCCTGTGCAGTACCACAGGGCCAAGGGAACCATGTGTCATTGTGGAGCAAGTGGCCACTGGTGTCACATGCCACTAAGAAATGAAAGAAGGACTGCAAAATGTCCCCTGGCTTTGGCCACAGGGAAGTTCTGAGTGTCCTTGGTGAGAACAGCTTTAGAGAGGCGAGGCAGACAGACTGCACATTGGGTTGATGAAGAGTGACTAAGAGGTGAGTGTGGACAAGCTGTCAACTCTGGCTGGGTCACAGAGAGAGCGAACAGTTAGCTGGATGAGTGTGTGCAAACGTATGCACATGTGGGTGTATGTATATGTGTGTTAAAGGCTGAAAATTTGACACACTAAGAGTTGACAGGGCGAGGTTGAAGATCTAGGGGAGGGGCCGTCAATCCAGCTGGACCCCTGACTAGAAGGAAGGGACTTCGCCAGAGTCTTTTTCCTAAGGAAATGGAAGGGGGGAGGACAGAGGAAAGCTGGTGCCAAGGTGTTCACACAGGTCTGGTGGCCAGGAGCCCTGAGGCATTGCTATTCCAGTGTTCAAATGGTGACATTGGACAGGATATGCAATCTCTTATTCTTCTTCAGAGAACAGAGGGAAGGAAGGCAGCAGGGCAAGGAGAAAAGAGGAGGAAGGGGGAAGAGATTTGTTTTTCTAATGCTTAGTTTGGATTTTTACCTCCCAGGCAAGGAATCTCAGTTCTAGTCTCTGGGATCCTTTTACCAATTTGCACAGCCCAGTGCCCCAGCTAATTGTGTTGAGCCCACTGGCCAGTCTCAGGATAACACAACCACAGTGTCTCTTTTGCTACTTAACAGGAGGACAATAAGAGACATGCTCAAGAACTGGTCCTCTCAAAGGAGAGTCAAGAAATGCACTGAGTGTAGATGGTTTTAAGAGGGGAATGGAGAGTTAGGCAAACACCTGGGAACAAGGAGAAAGATATGCATTCCAAGGAAGACAGCTCATCTGACATCTGAGCGCAGCAGGACAGGAAGGAATGAGCATCCTAATGCAAATCACAAACCAGAGTAAAGAGATGCTGGTATTAACCTGTCTCTGCCAAGAGTGGTCTATGGAAGGAAAGGGAGCAGAGGTACAACAGTAGAATACGGAGGAAAGGGAAGAGTGTGGGAGTTGACCAGAGAGTGAGGCGCTCACAGAAGTATCAGGAGAGACCAGGTCAAAAATATCCTTGGCCGGATTCTGCGTCAGTAGACAGATTTTCTTACTTGTGTTTATTTGAAGTACGTTCTATTTGCACTGCAAGCTCTTTTGGCAAGATTTTGGAATCCTTTCCCTCAAGGAGGAATTTTGCTGGATGCAATTTCACAGTAAACAGATCCTGTGGAATTTTAAACATATGACCTTGGCGATAGGGGCTTAAGACGGAAGGACTAAAGCAGCTTTACACATTGCTCTGTACTCTGGGTTAGCGACTGGAAGGCAGAGTGACCTGGGAGCTGGGGAGTGAGTGCTGAGGGCCACCAGGCTCTCCTCTTCTGGGGCAGAGACTGTTCTGATGGTTGTATGGTGAGGGAGGGATGAGAACATGGAGGAGCGAAAAATGCTCTAAAAAAAATGGGGGGGAAAGCTTTAAAACTACTCATACCAGAGCCTCCTGGGAGACTTGAGACATAGTCATTAATTATTTTGATAATTAAATCAAACCTCTTGAGGGCAGCATGAAAGTTTTTCTCTGCCAAGTTGTGAGGGTTTTTCCCTAAGACAACTCCAGCTACAGAGGTTGTAGGGAATGCAGGTCCATTTTGGGGAGAGGGGGATGATGCTGTATATCACTCCTGCCTCCTGTGTGTCTGAGGCCTTTGGGGACATCAGTGAGGACCATGGAAAATGCACACACAGACAGAAGGACATTCTAGCCAGAGTGGCCTTGTCACCTAGGATCACTTCAGTAATGCAAAAGACCCTTTTCTTCTGCCCTTAGAGCTGAGCATGCCTACAGACAAGACCCTTCGCACTGTCTGGAATCGTGGTCTCTTGGACCCACAGTTGACCTTACATGGTTCTGGCTCTAACAAATATGGACCCCCACCCTGGCCTGAATCAGTCAAAATATGATCCCCCACCCCCCAACATCTCACCAAGGAATGAGATAGAAAGCTCAAATAATCTTGGAGTATCCTCAGACTGTCACTACAAGACTCAGAAAAACTGAGGCTCAGACCAAGGGGCAGGCCTAAGAGACAGGTGAGAGAGCTGAGATAGTGTTGGTTCAACAATCTGGATGTTTGCAGACAACAAAACAGAGTTGCTGAATTACACATGCCATAGTTGGAGTAGCTAAGTGGAAATGCTATAGAAATACTGCACAAAGAGAGGCCAGTTTTTCACATTAGGCTGACTGCTTGGCCACAGATAATAAAAATTACACATATCCACTATGGGTAAATCCCACTTGCTAGCCTGAGCATTTGAATTTACTGCCAATTTTTTTTTTTTTTTTAACAGAAGAGGGTGCCATACATTAACAGAGACAAGATTTTTCCCCAATAAATTGATAGTTTACCTACTGACACATGAATATTTAGATACAAATGACAGTGCTGGGGGGTTTTGTGCTTGATGGCATGATGAGCCATGACCAAAACATAGATTATATTAAGAATTTAACAGAAATCAGTATATGTAGTCTAATTTGTGCATAATGCTAATAAGATTCTCAATGTCTCATGAAACAGATTTTCTACTCAAGATAGTATATTTATATGAGATTAATTATGTCTCAGCAAAGACATAATAACTTAACTGCAGCATGAGGGACAGAATCTGGCATTGTGGGACCAGGCATTTGACCAACTTGTGACCTTTCTTCCCATCCATCATTTCAAGAAAAATGAGAGAATGAAGTCATAAAAGAGCCATATGCAACCTTGGTTCAACCTTCTTAATTCAGAGATGCAGAAATTATCTATTAGCAACAACTGAATTGTGTCACTATGCCCCTCCCTGTGGAAAAGTCAGCTATAACTTAGGTTTCAAAAAACCTCTGCTACTCACCTGTTCCAACATGTCCTTGGGCAGATCTTCTTGTTCATCCATTGTTAGAATTGCCCGTTTGATTTCATCATTGGATAATTTCAACCTGGAGATGGAAGATTTTTACGTTGTTAGCAATGCTGGCATGAGCAGCACTAACATTTAATACAACTCATTTTGCCACTCCAGCTGCTGAGTTTCGAGCACGGTTTTTCTCAAAGTCTCTCGGTGAAAGCTTCTTTCCTGACAATATAGGATTTTGAAACTAAAAATAGGGTTTTGAAACTGCTTTAACATTCTTTCGGGACTTGGTAATGCTCTGCTAACACAGAGAACAAAGCTGCTATGTTCTATCTTTTAATTTCCTAAAGCAAGGGATCTGAAAATTGGAAATAGGGAAAATACGTGCAATCATTTTCCTTTATATACAGCATCCATGAATTGCAGGTGAGATAACTAAATCCCTGAGTTTGCTATCAGGTTAAAAAATAGACTTTGAGAAGGTTGCAAACTATGCAAACTATAGCTCATGTATAAGCACTTCATAGTTGAGAAGTTTTTACATATGTTATTTCATTTGATTCTCAAAAATAATTTTGTGGTCTCTTTTTTTTTTAATAGGTGGAGAAACTGAGGCTCACAATGGCCAAGTGATTTACCCAAAGTCAAACACAGAAAGTGACAGTACCCATAAAGCCCAGCTCTCCTGTGACTGCTTATCTCCAACGTTTTTTTCTCTCTAAAAACAAATGCTTGTCTAGTTAACATCTCATAGGTAAGGATCTGTGCTTTTGCACAAATCCATTTTCTGTTTTTCTGTCTACCATAAACTTAAATTCTAATTTAATTAGGAATTTGTGACTTAAGTCAGGATAACAAAGTGTGGACTATAGAATATGAGTCATGAATTTAAAATACACTTGTACAAAATGTGTTTTTATAGTGGTCTTAATGGGGGCAAATAATCACAATCACAATATTAGCTGTGACAGCAGTCATTCCTTTGCTTTACTTATAAACCCACATTTACTTCTAACATGCTACTTCCTTGCCACCTAATAATGTGGTACACTATTAACATCACCTCGTCTGTCCTTTAGTCTATGCTTTTCCAGGAGGATCACATTCAAGACTGGAGATAAAGACACAAACACAGATATAGAGCAAGATGTACACGTGCCACATGTAACTTTAGAAGGTAAGGAGGGACTTTGGTGTCAGACAGGCTGGGCCCCAGTCCTGGTTCTGACAATTTCTGGTTGGGAGTTCTTGAAAAATATTTTTATTGAGCCTCAGTTTTCTCATATGTAAAACAGGGATAATGACAACTACATTAAAAAAAAAAAGCATGCACTCATGCATAAGGGTTAAGTGAAATCCACATGAAGTACTTAGCATAGTTCCTGGTCATAGAAATATGGACTCAATAAACTGCACATGTGCCTTACAAGGCACACTTTCTTATGCCAGAAGAGAAGTATCAGTACTTTTGTGACCTTAATATTCACATGCTCATTAAGCAGTGCTTAGTGTGGTTATTATGAACACTTCCCAAAGCACATTCACACCCATTATTTCACCCGTGTTCCCTATAAGAGATAGCATTAGGCCTGGGAGTACTAACAAGGAACTGAAAGATGTATCTTAATCTTAAAGGTGATTGTAATCTTTGGGAGAACTGAATGGTAAGCAGAAATAGGCAAGACCCAAAGGTGTGCAAAACACGCACTCCCACATAAAGGCGAGGGCTGGCTGGGTGGGAGGACTCCAAGACGGTTGAAGAAGCCATGACCCCTAGATGGAATTGGAAGGACATATCACTGTGGACACCCCTGGCTTATCCTTTCCTTTAGATCTTGACATGATTTTGTTCAAACTGTCCACCCAAATATTTAAACTGCATGTTGCTTCATGTGCCAGTGAACAGGAAAGAGAAGGGACACATTTGGACATCCTATTGTACTAACGCCTTTCTCTTCTAGTTCATGTTCTCAAATTCAATTTTAGCATCTAGGCAAAATGGCAGACTCTCCATTGACAAATAAATAAGAACCTTGTCTGACCTGTAGTGCCATCATGACCTCCATGCTGTGGAGGGCAACCCTGTCCCTGGCATATTCTCCAGTTGGTTTCAATCGTTCTTGGGACAATCACTGCTTCATGAACATGTTCACTAGAACATCTTGACAGAAAATTCCCACAATTAAATGGAACCACTTAGCTAAGCTGGCTGAGTAAAGTATACTGAGAAGGGAAAAAACTGCATGGATATCAAGGACTCAAGTGCCCAAGTCCGGAACAGCCCTGAATTCCAGGATGTACACTACAGGCTTAAGTCCATTTCAATGCAAACACCATGGTGTGGTCTTGGAAGGCCAAGGGAAGACTGACGCAACCACTAATGAAAACCAACCAGCCAGGGGAAAACATCTATAATCATCATAAGAAGAGCTCTGCATATAAGAAAAAAAATTAATTAGTTCTGTGTCCTTTTCACACCAAATGGAAGAAACCATTTTATGGTGTAGTTCTGCTCAGTCCTTCTGTTTTGCATTTAAAAGAAAAGGAGTTGAAAATCAGAGCGAGAACAATACTTGAAGTATCAGATTTGCATTTCATTAGCTCCCCATATGGAGTGCAGAACTTTTTGCTTTTGAAATTGTATATATTTATGCTCCTCAACCCCCAGAGGCTGTCTGGACTAAACACTGGCTCTAATTCATAACAATTCTGGTTTCTCTTAATGTGGTCCACAAAGGGACTGGAGACTTTAATGGATAGTACTTAAGAAAATCTACCTGTCAACATAACACCATACACGTGGCCTGTTGGATCAGAAAAAGAAACCCAACCTTGGGGGAGGGGAGAAGGGTTCCCCGCCGGCTGGGATGGTTCTATAGGCTGCAGAGTTCTTAGTATCATCTGTCATCCACAGAATGAGTGTCTAATCTCTGTAATTTAAGGACCCTAACAATTCTAGGCTTTTAATTGCTTTTAAAGCTTGGCAGTGTTCTGGCATGCTGGAGGGTGGCACCTTTAGAGACACCCATTTCAACTTTCTTTACAAGGCAGGAAACAAACCAGGCATCTTTAAACAGTATTTAACTCTACCTTGCTCTACTCAAGCATTTCAAAAATTTGTGGAGAGAGCTGGAACATCAGGCATAATTAAAACAAGTTAAGGATGGATGGCTAGATCAGCCCTAGCTCTGTTTCAGTGGATTGGAGCCAAATCCCCCTATTTAAAGTAGCTTTTTGTGGTTTACGACACCCTGACTGCCATGTCAAGTGAGTATCTGGAAAAAAAAGAATGGCAGAACACTTCATAAAATTGTGTTTTAGGTGGGTTCATTTTGTAATATAAACCTGCTTCCAAGTTTCTTTTTCTCTCTTCATTTTTTGAAAGAAGAGGTCTGTTTTGGAGAATAAAACTTGTGTTTCAGATGGCTACTGTCGCCCATATACATACAATAGAAAAGCTGCTTGAAGAACTATTGTAATAATATGTGCTCATTAAATTGGTTTTTGATAGACAACTGAACAGATCAAGTTCTTAATGGCTTCTCATTCTGAGGTATACCCTGCCCTCTCCATTCTTCTCCTGAGTTTGTGAAAGGCATGTTCCTGGGTCCCTGGAGCTCCCCATTCAAATTCACACCTCTCTGAGAACTTGATGACTAAAGTTGTAAACAATAAACACCTTCCTTACCAGGCGTGAGGAGACCTGCCTGCTTGGCTCCAGAAGGCCACTGCAGGTTCCTAACAAGGGGTCCCCTAGATTTTGTAGCATGTGAGGAGAGCTCTAAAATATAACCACACACTGTGGGCACATGGGCCCATGAAAATACAACCCATGGAATATGCCACTGGCTCTCACTGTGTTGGACTTTGGTGCTAATGATTGCTGGGAAATAAATCCTTCATCAGCTAGATAACAAATAACGAAGTTTGCTAGACTTTGGGATTGAAATACATAGGAAACAGGAAAGACGGAAAGGTAGGAAATCTTGACACCATCTTTGAAATAATCCTAGTCTTTGTCCCTAAGCACAAAATCAGACTCCCAGTCCTATCAAGGGTCCCTCATCAGGTCTCACATGGACAACAGAAAGACTCCTATCTCATGGCTCCCCTGCACTCAGCTCTTGACCCCTTCCAACTCATCCTGCAAAGCCCTGAGACCAAATTTAAAATGTTAATAAAACACATACTGAACTCCTGAACAAACTGCAGTCTCTTGATCCCACGATGTATAAACAGGCCATTAACTGAGCGGCTACCACATATAGGCACCTGCCAGGGACTTCACACACATTAGGGCTAATTCTCACATATCCACTACAAAACTACTACTTTCCTGATCTTGTTGAGGAGAAGGTTATTATGACTTGACCTTGGGCTGACTCATGTCCTTATAAAAGCATAAGATGTGAATCCCAGCCTTTCTTACTGAGTATCATGCAATTCAGTCTATGATCCTCTGCTGCCATGCAGGCCTCTCTTGATTGGCTGCTCCAAGCCTCCATGTAACTCTGCCCTTTGGGACCCACTTCTTCCGGTTACTATTGCTGGAGCCCCTCTCATACCTGGTTGAGCTCCTGTGACCCCTGACTTGTTCCTTGTTCACAAGTCTTCTCGCATGTGTCATTTTTCTTCTCCCGTCAGCCTTGAGCTTTCAAAGGCAGCAACGCTACCTTACGTTTTGGTAAATCCTCTGGCACCTAGCACAGTGTCAGGCAAATACAGGCTCCAAAGTGGGGACTGTCCAGAAAAAAGGTATCAGATCCACTTTCATTTATTTCTTCCCTACTTTAAGGCTTTTCCTAGCTTTCTTTTGTGTATAGGAATAAATTGTCAATGAAAAGGGGAGAATAAAAAAATTCGAACTGGTTGAAAAACTAAATATAATACACATTAAATCAGCTTGATTATTTTCATTTTTAGCACAGCACATTTAACATGTCAGCTTGCGCTTTGCTGATGGGAGAGTAAAACATCTCATCACGGAGAGAAAAGGAAGTGGTACTGAATCCTGTGGGAGAGGAGGTTTTAAACCTAATCAATAAGGCACAACTAACAATAAGGTCAACTGGGACCCAGAATTACTTTGTTAGCCACAAAATGCCTTTTAATTGTGCTCATTGTAACAAAACATACTCATCAAAGTAGATTTTAATAGATAATCTAATAGATACAACACAAGGTCTTTAAATCATCTCCCAGAGAGTTCAGACACATACAAGTTCTAAGTCACTTTCAGCTCTGACACTTTTAGGGTAACAAGGGAATCATACACCAGGAATAAGAAATAATTCCTTCAATAATGGAAAGGGAAACTTGCCAGAAAGAGTTGTAACCTTATCTATAACTAGTGTAATTATCCTGGCTGGCACTTAGCATTGAGGATAATCTGTCTATAAGAAACTAGGTCACAGTTTTCACTCTATAAGCAGTTTGACGCTAAAGAAGTTCAGGGTGATAGCTCTCTTTATCAAGCTGCTTTAAAGTATTCATCTGGGTTGCAAAAGCAAAAAAATATATAGGGAAAGTGTCTCACATTAAACACCACACACACACACACACACACACACACACACACACATCTTTCCCCAAATCTTTATTTAGTTTTGCACTTGAGAATGTTATTTGCAAGAAGATAATAAAACAAACAGTTCAAGCTATAGAAGAAAACTAAGCACACCTTGAAAGTAAGTATCTTCTTAAGGCAGATAGATACTTTATCTAACCTAAGCATGGTTCATGAAGCAAAAATTAGAATAAATACAGCGCCTGCCCATTCACATAGCTTCCAGCTAGAGCAGAAATGAAATACTAACCGGGCGGTTCATGTTACCTTACAAGTTGCATTAAAATTCAGGGATCTCACTAAGGTTCAATTTCTCTTTCACTGAAAGAAACATTTGCTCCCTAAAGTAACATGTATCTGGCCAACAATCAAGCTTCCATGCTGAAAACCTAGCAGCAGCGTTTTGTGTTAAAAGAAACTCAGTCTAAGGGGATCTAATAAGGACCTCTACTTTCCCTCCCTCTTTCCTGATAGTCACCTTATACCAGCCTCATGCACATACGACTTTCCTTCCAAAATGTAACTTATCTTTAAAGCCCCGCATTCAGCATTCTTTACATCTCCATGCCTCTCATAAGCGTTGGGTATCTTTGCCTACTATGAAGTCTCCTTCAGAGAAAAGAAGAAACTAGACACAGAAAAGTTACTTGAAATGCTCAGAATGACCTGACAACTTTGCCTCAAGCTACAATCAGATTCCAGGCTCCCCAATTTCCTTTCTTCTTTTCAAGTTCTACGGCTGTGATGGTTCACTAATTATAAGAAAGATTTCTGAACAGGGCTGAATGGGACAAATTAATATTTCACTGAAGTTTGAGATTTACACAGATTTTTAGGCACAAAAAAACTCAAAAAGAACATGAAATCATATGAGCTTAAAATATAAAAAGGTGAAATACAGGAAGCAAAATAAAATAAAGAGCCATCAACGTGGGTCCTGATTCTGTGACAGTGTTACTCAAAGATAGCCAAGAAGTATAAAACCAGTCAAGTCTACTTTAAAGGCCTGGGAAGAAAATATTGACTTAGGATACATTTTAATTTAAATTTGGAAGTCTGTGGAAATGAAACCCTAAGAGAATTGGCATCCAGCTCTGACATATTTCACTAGGGAAAGTGACCCCAAGAGTCTTCCCTCTAAACAGAAGGGAACCCAAAGATCTGTACTCAGCAGGTACAATTAAAGAGATTCAAATGAAATGATAAATGCGTGGCTTTGAGCCACAAAATAGAAAAGTTGGTCCTACTAGAAATGTTTACTCAACCTCAACAATACCTTGACAGCAGGATGTTGCAATTCTGAGCCCTCCGACCATCAATCACTGAAAGCTCTTTGACTTTCATTTTGGAACTCAGTGTGTCATCGGTGGCATCTGTTTCTTTCTATAAAGAGCACAAAAGAAATCCATCAAAGTCAGTGACTTTCAGACACCAGACTTCACATTTTGTGTACACACGCGTGTGCACGAGTGTGCGCGCGCACACACACACACACTATACACTATACACATACACAGATAGATGAGACTGAGATGGTGAGGTGGGGAGTGTAGGGAGGTGGTGGCATTGAAACAAAGGCTACAATCTAGTTAGTTGGTAAAGAGAAATAAGAGAAGCTGACCACCCACATTTGAAAAAGCATTATCTGGAAGAACAGAGCTTCCAAGTTGAAGATGCTAAGTGTGCATAAATTATCAATGAGTGATGTCCTCCTTTTGTCCCCCAAATCCCCACAGACAGCAGACAGAAGAACTGTCATTATGAATCAAGCTCAGCTGAGGCTTGCCATTGCTGGTCCCGCCAATTGCAGGGTCCATTCACCCCAGAACCATTTGCATCCTGAGCACTTCAAAAAGCTGAACAATAAACCCTCCCAAACTTCTTCATGTGCAACAGGAAGCTCCCAAGGCCAGATGGCACCTTTCATTACACTGGAAGCTTGATGGACAGTGGGGAGGGGGCAGCTCAAGACATGAGCTCAGTTACCTGAATTAACAATGAAACACCACTTCAGATTCTGGGCTGTACTAAGCAGTGAGGGCCAGTCGCAATTATGGTGGAATAGGCAAAAATCAATTATATATAAAATGCAATTTGATTAAACTGCACATCAGAGGTTTAGATAATAACAAAAGGTTCAAGGTGAAGAAAACACGGACCAGTTTGATAAATAGCAAATTTGATATTATTAGTAGTCAAGATCAATTAAAAATGGATTATGGTGTTTTAAAAATGTAAGGAAACCAAAGAGCTCTGGAACTGTATAACAGTTTAGGAAATAAAGGCAATATAGAATCTATAATATGAATCAACTTGAGACCCAAAGCCAGTGTCTCTTGTGCCGAGGCTTCAGGCATACCTCCAGATATAAAGTAAGAGTTGAAACCCAATGTGGAATTACCTAGACATTGCATTATACTCTCTAAACAACAAAACAGGATCACTGAGAAGTTTTGAGCTTATAGTGAGCCAAGAAGTTACATTAAGCAAGGTTTAGGTAGTAGCTCACTTACCTGCTTGGAGTTACTGTTCACAAAGAAATCCTACAGCCATGGCAGAGGCATGGAAAAGGCAAATCAGATACATGCAATTCAGAAATCACAGCAACAAATGGGGGAAAGTCAAAGCAGTCAAGGAAATTGGTGGTGCAGGGTAAAAGATGATCAGTGCTCCTGCGATCGCCAGTGAGAGATGATGACTGTGAGAATCTGGCTGAAGATATAGTGAGGAGCACAGCACAAAGCACTGGGGTAGAGGAAGATGACTACATGTGTTGCACGCAATTGCCAATGTTGGTAAATGAAATTTAAAATGGAAAAGGACTTAGAATACGCCAAAGGGACCCAAGCTGCGTAAGGAACAAATTCTCTTAGACTGGGCTCCATTCACTTAACACATAAATTTTTACTTGAGTCACCTTTCCATTGTTCAGTACCACCAGAAAAATATTATTTTGGGGTTGTATGTGGGAATAATCTACTATCTTCTTATATCATAAGTGAGGATTAAGAAGAGACAAGTTGAACAACCTAAGTCGGTGATATTAACCCTCAGTATCCCTAAGAGGGTCTGAACAATGCCTGAAGGTGTAAGGGGTCTGCATGAGGAAAAGGAACATGCAATCCAGAGGCAAGCAGTGGTTCACAGGGTGTGCAGCCATTGGTGGCCCATCCCGACTGCCCCAGGGCTGTTCAAGTACCCTGGGGCAATAGCCTCATCTTGAAATAGTATTTAGAAAAGACTTGGAGTAAAGAAGGGAAAGAAGAAGAGGTAATTGACATGTTATGAGAAAGTGACAGTTTTTTCATTGCATACTTTTGCAAGGCTGGAATGAATAAAGCTTTGGTGTGCAAACACACCCCAGTTTTTGGGTGAACAGCTTGCACAACCAGCATTTGCTCAGCAGATTCCTTAAGGTCTCATTGGTCTTGGCAGCACTGCCAAGGCCAATTTTACACAGATGAGCCGTTCACATAATTCTTCTAGTGGGAAACAGAGTGTGTCTTCTTCCCCTTGCTTTACCCATACAAGGAGGACTGTTTTGCTAAAAAGGCATTTACAAAATAAGTTGATAACCACAAGAAATATTTTTTCTCCTCTGATAGCCCAGATTTCTTTTGTCCCTATTATAACTGCCAAGATTTCTACTCAGAAGCTCCTTAGGACTCTTCTGTGAAAATAGTTTCCTTTCAAGGGCAGAAAAGACTATGGTGAAATGAACCCCATGAGGTCATCTTAACCCTTCTTCTTTTTTTTTTTTTCCCACCCTCTTTCTTAAAGAGAAAGTTGCTACTTGAACTTAGATCTTGCTCCATCTGGCCATCAAAGATGAAACTTATGAAGTTCTCTGGCCAAGTATCCTATATCTTCTGATCCCATTTATCAGGAAATTGGGACTTCTGACCTCTAGCGTACTAGTCTATAGAATCAGGCAGCTGTCATTTATTGGTTGTGTGACTTGGGGCTCAGTTTATCTGTAAAAATGGGGTCAACAGCTAGATTATTAAATGTGAGGATGCAGGTCAAGCATCACTCACAGTACCTCACAGTCATTTATGAGCTCAATACTAGAAAGGTATCATGTGACATTATTTTATTGTTCAAACTGACAATCAAGTTCATGTTTTGCCTCTTTCAGCTAAGCTGCAGAAAGGCTGTCAAGATTTTCCTTTGTTACCACCAGCAGCAATAAGTATGACTGTTAATAGCTATGTCACACATCTTATCTTTCCAGAGGTGAGGATAAAGAATACCATGGGAGGATTTGGTTAATTGCTAGCCTAAAGAGTACACTTCTTTAAAAAAAAAAAAAATATATATATATATATATATATATATATATATATATATAAATAAAAAATCAATGGACCTTTATTTAATCAATTAATTTATTTATTTATATGTGGTGCTGAGAATTAAACTCAGTCCCTCACACATGCCAGGCAACTGCTGTACCAGGGAGCCATAATCCCAGCCCAAGATTACACTTCCTTAAAGGTCTGTTAATTAATATATTATGAATAAAAATCACAAACCTTATGAGTTTCATTACAAGGGGCATGTTAGAAATAAAGATGCTTCCAGGCCTATTTGAAGAAGTAAGTTAATATTCTTTTTGGAACCTTAAATTATTCACTCAAAAATCAGAAGCGAATATAAAAAGATACTTCTAATTGGCTTTGGTCAAATATGATAGGATCGCCTATATTTGGCTCTAACAGGATGTCTGATTTTTCTGGATGATATGGTGAAGTGCTTAGGGCTTGGAATATAAATAGAAAGTTGGCACTTGCATTTTCAGGAACCACTGATGATAGAGTGCTCTAAATAGGAATCCACAAAGAAGAAATGACCTAATACTTCATAGATAGTGACGATCCTTATAGGAACAATTCTCAAACTTTGAAATATCTTGGTAAAATCTGATTAAAGGTGGGAATTTCACTACAGAAAAAAAATGCATCTACTAATACTTACATAAAAATCTGTATCTGATTAACCCTTACCATGAAGCCCAGTTACAGAACCTTTAACCTTACATCCAGACTGAAAAAAAAAAAAAAAACACTATTCACAATTTTCTTTTTTGCCTTCATATGCCAAGGGTAAGGGTCAAGGTTGCTGAAATAAATATGTTAAATCATATCATTTTTAATGTGCAAATTAGAGGTACAGAATAATGAAAACTATAAAAGGAAAAAAACTTTGAACATTTATAAAACAGTCAGAAGAAGATATTACTCATGTTTCACATGGGACTCAAAAACGACTTATATATTACAAATTAGAAGTAAAGGTCAGATTTAGTAAATAAGAGATAACTACTGTCTAGTAAAGACTGGACACTAGTTATCTCTTGTTCCCTAAATCACAGCACAGAGGATTTGAAATGTTATATCATGTACTGATAACAGGATCTTAAATGAAGGGCTATCCTTGGGCAAAGAGTGGGAGGAAGAGAGCCGGAGTGTTAATATGTTGCTATAGAGCCATGACTCTCTTCCATTCATTCTCCTTCTGTTCAACTGTATAGATAAGGAGAAATGAGTTTACAGCATGTCAGGAGGAAATTTTCCCATAAAACAGACATGAATACTGCTTAATTGTATCTGAAATAATACTACTAAGCAACATGCTACACTATGTACTAAGTCTCTTGTGGCTGACTTGGAAATCAGTATTGATGTAGTTTCAGTGAGGAAAAAGAAGTCCTGAGATTCAAGAAATTGACTTTCAAATGACGTTTTGGAATGTGAGCAGGGAAATAACGGCATGCTTTTAAATTCCATTTCATGTGCACGTAAGCTTACACAATCAGCTCTGCACACCTTTGATAAATGCACTGGAAAAAAAATCTGAATAGGAGTGGTCTTGTTCTTAAAACTAGAGTTAAAAGAAAATCCTCTACAAAGTCTGGTATTCATAATGAATAAAACCATGAATTAAGAACAAAGTGAAACTGAGAACTACGCCACTGATTATGCTACCTGTTGGGGCACTGAATACATACTAAACCAAATTTTCAGTATCTGCAATATAGGAATAATATCCTCCTCATGGAGTTAAGGGTAAGTATTAAATAAGAAAATAAGCAAAGAACTCTTAGAGAGTTAAATTTTAGGGTTGATAACATTGAGAACTATGTTTATAATACTCAGCATCAGAAATGTAATGGATACTTAATGCTGATTATCATCTTTTAGTTCACATTATGGTTATTAACAGATTTTCTCACCTCTGCTTTTATACTGTATGTTGTACTGTGGAACTCTGCAAAAGTTGAACACATTTTAATCTTTCAAAGTACATAATATAAATGCTTGATTTTAAATATATTTCTCAAATCAACCAGATGTTTTATATACATGTGTTTTATATGCGATGTTTTATACATATATATGTTTACACATACAAGCAAATGTATGTGTAAATGTGTATCTATATTTATATAGGTATACATGTGTAATATAGACACGTATGTATATACTTCCTAAGCGTCATTCCTCATTCAACTAAATAAACTAACCTGATATTGCTGAGATTTCTCAAATTCATACTCTGTGTAGGGTCCTATTGCATGCATGCAGGTAATGATATTCATGTCTCCCCTTGCCTCTCTGAAATATTTATTTAGCCAAACAACTGGATGTGGTCCAGAGAGTTTGACCAGGGTTTCATAACTCAGCAGGGAGGAAAGAGGAGACACCATGGAAAAAAATAGGTTTCCAGTGTTCATTTGGGGATAGAAAAGAGAGCAGTTCAAATGTGGTGATAATTATATAATGTACTGCCAAGACTGAAATGAAAATGCATAGTTCTTTGATGTTGCCATCGTGAGATCAGGGGACATTCAATGATAGGAACTTTGTTTCCTTTACTCTGTACTACATATTCCAACTAGAATGTCTGTATCTTTTGATTTTTATGGCTCTCAACATTTAGTAAATCCAATAAAACGGCTTAAATTACCCTCATTTGGAAAATATACTTATGGTTTAAAAATTCTCATCTCTCGTTCTTGTGTCAAAAGGTGTTGAAATTTTTCTTCAGGAAGTGCTGCTGAAAAATCTGGTCACAACTAATTCTACTTACCAATCTACTTAGTGTTAAGTACAACTAACATGTTCTAGTCTATCCTGATTGGAACAGCTACTGATTACTTAAACAGTGTTGGTTGCTAGGAGACAATTACCCAATTGCTGGGCTTTCTGCAATCCCGTCTCCCAGAGCTCTTGAGAATTGTCCACATATTTGTCCCAGAGCATTTTGGCAGCATCTTCCTGCACCTTCTGCTGAAAGCCAGTTAATTATGAGTCTTATAACCTTGGGTCTTTCAACCACTTGCCTTCATAATAAATGCAACCCACGTGCCCAGACTTGAACAGCATCATTTGGGATACTGCTGCTTTCCCTTCCTTTAAAATACTTCTCTAAGTTCTCAAATCTTCATTTTAGGCAACCAGCGTGGACCAGCATTAGCAAGTGAAACTCATGTGGAAAAGCAGTGGGATATGTAATCAGGTCAAAGGATCATTTGAATTACTAGGAAATTTGCTAAAATGTCCTATGACTTCATGACAAGGCCCAGGGGATACCCTTCCTGGGACAGGAGACTGGGGCAGTGGGAGGGAGAAAGCATATGGCAGCCAATCAGCCAATCAGTCTGGGGCTCAGAGCACCTGCAGGATGACTCCACACATACTCTTTGTTTGTTCTTTCAAAGCTAAGCTCTCTTGCTTTTTACTGGACAATGCCATACCTTTGTTTTCTTCATTTTCCTTTATTTGGTGTGTAATATATTGTACAAGTTGCCTTCTTATTTATGGAGGGGCCCAGCTGAAGGTCCTTGTTTTTTTAGGGTTTATGTCATTATGGCAGGTTTTATTTCAAACTTTATTAAACTAGCACAACAGTTGCTAGAGAAGCTTGTCCTCTCTTTGAGCAAAATATTCTGGCTAAATATACTCCCCGCCCCCCTGAAACTCCCCATTTCAGATGCATTGAAGACCACTTGAAATAATAATGAAAAAAAATCTTTAGCTTTTGCTTCTCCCCTAGTTTCAGTCCATCTTTTCCCTTGGTGCTTAGTATTTTTCTGAGACATTCTTTCTTGGGAACCAAGCCAAGTAAGCCAACTAGGAAGTCTATGGCTTGCTTGAGGGTACTCCACCCTGGGCATGATTCATGCAGGAGTGCAGGGCCTTCTCGAGCAGCCCAAGGAAAGCCCCAGTGGGGGTGCGTATTGTGGGCTCCCTTGACCATTCCTCTCCTTCGGCCAGCCTCTTTCTCCTCACACTCCTGGCTTAGTTTTCCCTTCTCAGGGATCTGGTCAACTGTTTGGGCCCCACCTTTCTTTTGTTCTTCTGGAACTATCCATATACTGTATGGATATGAAGAGTCTTGTCTACCCTTAAGAACTCTACTAATAGGACGTCTGGAGGAGCAAGAGGTACCATTTGGATGTGCCTAGGGCTTACCCAGAGATGATGCCTGCTGGGTCTTGCCAATGTGAATAGCTGGCAAGCACCAAGTCACGTGTTCCTGCTGCCATTACATAAGATTTGCTCACTTTTCCGTAGCTTCTCTGGTGCTGTTTGGGTCACTGCCATCTCCACACTTACTCAGCTTCTGCAAGCCCCCCACCTAGCCTATCAAGCCTATGACGTACAGTTAAAAACTTTTCCGCAGGTTCTAGTTAGCGGCCAAATTATAGTATTTACTAATGCCGGTGCTTCTAAAGCATCCAGCTATTTCAAAAAGCATTTTGCTTCTGAGAGTATTCATTTGATGTGTACTTTTTAAAAACTCAGTAAACCAAAATGGCTTCAGAAACAAATACTGTGAGGTGACAATATAGGTCACATATCTCCCTATTTTTTCCTAGCAACCCATTTTGACTACACACAGTGACAATAAAATACAGACCTCTTTACACCAATGGAGACAAGGTCTTGGACACATACCGCGATACACAGAGCTCATATACCTTCAACTGTTCACACACACACACTGACAGGCACTTGAACGAATATGGGGACACACACACGGTGTTGCTTTGCAGGAACATAGCAGGGCAGACCATGTGGCACAGAACTAAGATGCTTATCAGATCAGTTATGGCAGATGGCCTGGGGATCATGCACAAGGACGTGATTATTTTACTTTTTTTGGCATCTGTAGGGCACATGCTATTACCTGCTGTCTTTGGTAGGCAGAGAAAGTTCTTTCCAGGTCTTCGAGATCTAGAATTTTGAAGACTTTTGTGTCATCAATTTCGGTCCATACCGTTCCTTCCAGTTTGTTCTAGAAACATCAAGTGAATAAGTTTCTCTGGTTTTTAGTTGTATACATAAAGAATAGACATGGTTATTTCTAGAAAAAGTGCTGCTATCCCCAATTTTTCATTCTACACAACACTCAAACAACTTGTCAATATTTCAGAAGCTTTACCACTTAAATATCTGAGCGAGTTAGAACCCTGAGTCCACACAGGAAAATGAAGTCCTTTAGCAGTCAGGGCTGTTTCTTTCTTTCAGTGAAGACACACCGAGTGGCTAAGGCTAATCTACCAGCAGCAACATGGGAACCAATGGCTCACCTCAGGCAGCTTCAACCAGTTGAAGGACTTCAGGGCATTTGTGGGCTGAGGAATGTTTTTCTTCTTGAGTGCCAGTCCCATTGGCGCACCGGGAGGTGGCAAGACTCCCCCTAAAGGAGGTGGCCCTGGGGGAGGGGGAGGGCCTCCTGGGGGAAGGGGAGGTGGTGGAGGAGGTAGCACTCCTGGCAGGGGTGGGGGTGGTGGGGGAGGAAGGAGGGACCCAGGCACTGAGGAAGGAAAGGGCCCCCCTGGTGCTCCAGGCGAGGGTCCTCCTGGGACTGAAGCACAGATGGCCCTCTGAAAAGATACAAGGAGAAAAAGAGGAAATCAATGGAAGAAAGAAGTTCACTGGATGATTTTGAGAATCTGTCACTTGGCCTTAAGTAGGTACCATAGAGAAATCTCGCACTTGTGAGAACAGGGGTTTAAAGGCCTGGTGAGTTTGGGGCTTTATGGACTCAGTTGAGTCACCCTTTGTGTTTGACACTTGAGAGCTTATCTACGGAGCATGCACAGCTCTCTCACCTTTCATGTCATCATACAATTTGGTTTTCATGAAATTGGTTTTCACGGTAAAAGCTAATATGATTTCCTCTGCTTTTTGTACAGAGCTAGTACTAAAAACGTGCCCCACCCCCAACCTCTGCTACCAATACAAGATTACAGAGGGAGCGGGTCTCAAAGCTACTGTGATCAACCGTGAGATATCTCAGATCTATGTAAATTGCCTATGTAAGGTTGCTGGGATCCAGGATAAGGAAGGCTTTGGCAGATGCCCGAGAATGCAAGACACCCGTGGCCCTCACCCTGCTGAGCTCATGGAGCTGTGCTGTGAGGTCCGCCACCTGCTGCTTGACTTGCTTATGCTCAGTAGTCTCCTTTTCAAGTTTCTCTTTCATTTTATTTAAGGTCTGCATCATTTCTTCCTTCTCTTGGGTCTTAGCATCACATTCTCTCTCTTTCTTTTCCAGTTTCTGTTGCAGCTCATTGTGCTCTACGCATAGAAAAAAAAAAAAAACAATTGAATATGAAAATGGGAGGTTCTTCAAGGCAAAAATAGCTTTCCTACAAAGAAAACCAGCTCTTCTTCAGCTTGGTACCGTTCCTCCTCCCCACCAAAGGGAGACCCCCAGGCTAACATTGCTCATGCTTGAAGGGCTTCAGATGAACAACTCCACTAACTACAATGTTAACCCAAGTAGAGACCCTGAGACCATAATTCTAAAAATGAAACAAAGTTTGAGTAACTATTTGTGGAGGAGAATGTTGGGTAGCTAATTCAAAATCCTGTCACAGAAATGGCCCCTGAGCCCCACTAGGAAATAAACGAATGTTAAAAGGGCCTCTTCTCACAAATTAGAAATGGGACAGGGAGATGAGTGAGGATTGCTGGCTCTGTCCCACTGGCGGAAGGGCTGAAAGGGAGGCTCTGACATGATTAGAAGCTGCTGCAGACCACGTCATCAGCGTGACACCAACTTGTTTCTCCCATTCCCTTCTCAGAAGGCCATCTGAAGTATTTTATGCTTCCAGCAAGCTATTAAAACTCGGGAAAGCAAATGTTATCATCTCAGTATCAAATACCTTAAGGACAGGAGTGTAGGTTGAGCATGAAAATCAGTAATGTGGGGAGAAAAATATTAGCTCTCAGCTGTGGTTTCCTGCTTCCCTAGTCCTGCTCTAATGGAACAGGGCACCCGATTTAGCAGGACACTTATTCACACTGCCAGCGAATATGTGCTTGCTGACAAGAGTGATGAGCTTTGGAAAAGAGAAAGAATTAAGTTTAGGCTGAAGATTTTTATTTCAAATACTTGGCCCCAATTCCTATTCTTTTTATATCAATAAATCCACCAGAGATATAACCCACTGAGGCTAAGTTATACAAAGTTAGTCTCTATTTTTTGAGTTTGATAACACATTTAAATTCTGTTGTCTCTGTCCCTGACCTTCTCTTTTCGTGTCCCCCAGAATTGCGATTTGCAGGGAGAGGCATGAACCATTAAAATGCTTGGGTTTTGGCAGCCTTGGAGTTAACCACTGACCCACTTCTACCACTCTGTGGATGCATCTCTGACCTCCTTGGATCTGCATCTAAAAACTACCTCACCGTATCCCCTTTTCCTTTTTCTGTCATCATGTCATTTCTCATTGAAAACAACAAGCCGAGGGATTAGCGTTCTTCTCACAGGAATGCCACTGACAAATCCTGCTGCCTCAGAATCCTAAGAGGTCTTGACATTCCAGTACCTTCCAGACCCCACACTAAGTAGGCTATTCTGTAGGCTGGAGCAGGGCTTAGGAGACTGTGATTTCCAAATGCTCCTTAGATGATCCTAGTTTAATGCCAGGTGTGGGAAGCTCCAGTCTAAAGACACGCCCATACATAGTCTGCATTGACTATATATTTGCTAAGCTTTCATTGAGTACTTCCTGGGCAGGCTCTCCACCAAAGACAATTTTCCTCCAAATATTCTTCACCTTTCAGGTCCATGGAACTTTCTGCTCTACACAGCCTCTGCCTCCTCACTAATTTGTCAACATGTGCCCTTTTGAATCTAACTTTGCTTTCCTAAAGCCCAAGAAAAGGATAGAAGATCAAATCTTCAATCTTTCCTCTTTTATACTATACCCATGACTTCACTTTAAACAATCCTGTTCCTCTCCCTGACCTTGGGGATTCTCTCCTCTACCACCTCAGCCACCTGCATCTTGTAATAACGGCTGTCATTTATTGTGCCAGATACCATGCTAACGTTCTATTTGTTTTGACACTTTATCTTCACAACATCCCTGTGAGTTAGGTTTAATCTTCACATTGCAGAAGGGGAGGCTGGAGGGGAAGAGAGGACATAACTTATCCTGTTCAGGGAATCAGGGAAGGTGGAGTTATTATGGTGCAAATACTTATGTCCCAAGTGCTCTCCTCAGCTGCGAATCTCCATGCTCTGGGGTGGAATAGTATTCCTCAAACACCCACTCATGGATCATTTTCTCCTTGGTTTCATCTCCCTTTACCCTAACTTTTAGTCAATGTTTCTATTCTTTCCACAGCAGTTCCTGAAATTTAATTGTAAAAATGCATGCAGAGCCTCAATTATTAGAGATCAGCATAGATACATATGGGAACTAGTTAACAGAACAGGAATTCACATTTGGTATTTTCCTGTATCAGCGGTGCTTTTGTGCTCAACGGCAAAGGATAAATGTGATGAGAGGAAAGGAAATGCTCAGCCATCTCCTGGACATTCTTTTCAGAGCATTAACTAATGGGGTGAGTGCTACTGCATTTCATTGGCTGTGACTGTGTAACTTGGACAAGGAAAAGGAAGTCAGCTGACCAGTATGGTGAAAGAGCGGCGGCTAGGATTAGGGCTGTTCTCACAAAACAGCCAATTTTAATTTGCTAATATTCTGAAGGAGGTAGGAAAGCTATCCATTTCTGTGAGTGGCTGGCACCATGAGGAACACAAGGGGGATAATATCAAAGACTTATTCAAATACTAACAACTGGCTTGTTGTAGTTTTATAACACATATCTTTACAATTGTCATTGATTTTCTGCATGATTTCTCTTTTTATGATGGGTGCCAAATTGAGGTCATGGAGAGAATTGGGATGCTGAGACCCAGTGGGTTACGGCTGGGGTTACGCTTCTCTTTTAAAGTTCTGGGCAAAATTTCAAAATTCTAGAGTCCCTTATTCTATTTCTTAAGACCTGAAGTATTTAAAGAGCAGCTATGGGGCAGAAGAAGGGTCTGGATGATTGGTAGTTAAGAACATTTGAATTAACAAATACTAAGCAGCATATGTCACAAACTCTTCAAAAAATTTATGTGATTATAAGCCAAGAAATAAAATATTTCAGAATCAGCATGACAATTAAAATTGCTTGGTTCAAAAAAAAAGCCTGTGCAAAAACCCCTCAAGACATGGAAAAAGAAAAGTTCCTTGATGTTCGTAAGTCAACAGGAAACGTCAGTACAAAGATAGGAAGAGCAGGGTTGTCACCCAACAACCAACGACACGTCCCCTGCTCTTGTCAGGGTCACCCAACAATCAGTAACGCCGCGTCTTCTTTTGTGAGGGCCTCACCGCTTACCTTTTCTCATTTTTTCTGCTTGTTCTTTCCACTGCTTAACTTCATTTTCATTAACCAACCTGTATAAGTTAAACGAGTACTCATTACAAAAGGTTGACCACTAAATGCATTCTCCCTGGGTACAAAAATAGTCTACTGCAGAGAAAATCCTCAGTACATGCTTGATACCCATTTAAACCCAGACGTTGCTTACAAATATTGCATGTGCTTATAGAGTGACTTTATATTTGATCCTAGGATAAAATATATGTCTTATATTATCACCATTATGTCACAGGCAGTGGAATAAGAAGAGACTCACATTCGTACGACATTCTTAATATTAAAGTTTTCCAGAGGTGTGGAGTCGGGGTCCTGTCCTTTGTCATTTTGGATTACTATCTGCTGTATGATTCTGTCCAGCAGTAGCCAGTACTGAACAGTGTTACCACTCCTCTTGTCTAAAAAGGAAAAGAATGGTGGAGGAAATCATCAAGTTGTTTGTAAACTGAGTATTTCCCAACAATGGTCACGCTTTAAAGCCACAGATCCAAAGAGATGTTTATATCATCTGCACCAACATTTCCCCAAATGCTGGAATTTTGACACCTAAAGACTATTTATTCAACTGAGAGGTATTTTCTACCCCTTTCTAAGTCTGTTGTAAAGCTTATATTTATTTTCAAAGTAAAAGTAAATTATAAATTCATTTCATTCTGTGAATTCCACTGTATCCCTTAAGCTGTGGGGGGAAAGACATGGTCTGTCACGAAATGGAGTTTTGTAATCCCTGGTGTACACGCCCCAGCCCCGTGAGAACCAATCAGAAGACAGAGCCCAGTGGGCAGTGTCTCATCGCTTGAACCCCCCAGGGAATCGAACACTTACAAGGCATCTGGAGGCAGTGGTGAAGGATGGACATGAAGTGAGGGTAAGCTTCACTGTGAGTCAGCCTCTTCCTGGTCAGCTCAAACATCTGAGTTGCACTTTTTGTGTCTATGTGAACCTATTTTACAGGAAAAACAAATCGAAGTCAAACACCCAAGTTCTTCAATTCTCCCAATGCAAGATAAGTAAGTCCAAGGCAAATACAAACTAATCCTGTGTCTTAGGTTAAAAAAAAAAAAAATAGAGCTTAGATTTTTGTTCACAGGTTACACTGACCCATGCCAATGCTACAGTACCCTTTCAAGGAGAAATTCTGTGAGCTGGTGAGTTAAACCAGAATAATGACAAGTATACATACTAGTTCAAATCTTTTGGCAAATTCTAGTTCATCTTCATTTCGGAGCATTTCGAAAAAGTCTAAATGCCTGAAAGATAATTAAAGAAAAGTTATTAAAAGCAGAACATGCTACGAACACAAGTACATAGGATTCAGGACATTAACAATAAGGCCTTTCCTAAATTTTCAGAGATCTCTCCAAAAGATATATAATAATACTTGAATGACTTGAATGACTTCACTTGAATACTTGAATGACTTCACTTAATTTTGTTATAAGGGAAAAATAGATTAAGATCAAGATAAAGTAAAAATTTAGAAACCTACAGTGCATAGCACATACTAGACAATTATTAAATTAATATATATCAAATCTAAAAATAATCAAGTTCAGATTCCACTCATGGAGTCCCTTTGTGGAAAATAAGCCCATCTACCCATACTTGATTTGCTATTGAACTGAAGATCACAAAAGAAATATTCATGTCATTCATTGTTTATGCAAATATTTATTAACCCCTACTACCACATATTCTGTGCACAGGGATTGATACAGTCTATGTAGACAAATAAATCCAGGTCAAGGGAATAGAAAATAAAGGGAAGTGAAGTAAATATATGTGGTGGCTCGAAAAGGTCTTTCTTGCAGGGAACAAGGGAACAGGTAACATCTGGACAGCTATGAAATATTTTTTGAAGCTGACAAAATAGTATGTACAAAGGTCCTGAGGCAAGAGCTTTACTGACATATTTACAGAATATCAAGAAGAGCATGTTGCAGCAAATGATTGAAGAAGGGCACTAGAAGGAAAGATCTGAGAGGTAATGGGGCCATCTTAGAAATGATAAAAATGACTACAAACAAGAACAAAAGGACAAGAAGTGAAAGGTGACATTCACAGAATGCCAATCAAGGGTACTGAGACCATAAGTTTTATAGTCAATTGTAGCAACAAACAAGATAGTTGTCATTATTGTCATCAATATGGTCACCAATTTTTGTAAGTATAAAAATCACTAAAGTTCAGAAAAAATGAATGACTTGGACCAGGATAGATAGGAAGGACAAGGCAACCCGAGGATAGGATATAGATTAAGGTCTAAAGCCAAAACCCTCTTCAAGTTCTCTGCCCAACAGGCTGCTTCCTTCAAAGATGAAGTCTTTGGATAAAAACATCATTAGCTGAACCGACACCCTGGTGTGAGCTCCTCGTGCTACAGACACAGGCTGCCATTCAATATGGTACCACACCCACGGAAGAAGCATAAACTATCTCAGATCAGAACAGGCTCACTTACCTATCTAATGTTGAATTTTCATGTTCCCTTAATTTATCTATTACAGGTTGAATTCCTAACATCAGAAATTCATAGCGAAGATGAAGTCTAAAGTCCAAACTCTCCTGAAAGTAAAAGGGTGATAAAACATATATTTGTGCTTTTTAGACTTGATAGAATTTATTTTAAAATTATTCTTCATATTTTTAAAATCACAATATGGAAGGTTCTTACCACTCCTGCGCCTTGGCTTAGCACTGCGTTAATGAAGGACATGATGGCAGTCTTGAGACTCACTTCATCCCGATACCGCCCGGTGCTTTTATCCAAGTCATTAATTAAGGTCTATCAAGGATACAGATATAAAAACAAAGGACTGAATCATTACTAACCTTGTGCTCATTTTGCAAAATTTTGTATGCGGATAAGTTAATTTTTAAAATCTTGTGTTTAGTCAGAATTCCACTGATCCACAGAAAGCTACCTTTCTTTTTCCTTTCACATCAGTCCTAAAAATTATACTTTAAAAAAATTTACAGCATGCATGTTCATATATACAAGTATGAAAGACTTGGTTACCTCAGCTTGGTTTTTACATTTGAGTAAAAAAGTTGACACAATCTCACTTTTCATCTCAATCCTAAATCAAGAATGGCAATCTGTAGAATTTTCGGGGAGCATTCCACTGAGTGGATACAGAAGATGTGTTGCAGGCCTGCATTTTAAAGTTCAGTAAATCTAAAATCTCAGATTGGTTGACTATAGAAAGTATATACTATTTTCTGGTCCTTAGACCCAGAAGAAGGGAAGTTACAGTGTGAGTAGTCACTTGCTGGAGGGAATCTCAAGTCGTGTTCCCCCTTCAGGGCTGGAAAAGGCACCTATCTGTGCAGTTAAGGATGGGGTGAGAGAAGAAGGGGAGGGAACGCCCACCTGAAAGCGGGTCCTTTCGCTGGCATACTTCTGGTAGTGCAGCATGGCCTGTAGAACCTTCTTGTGGCCCCCAGGAACCAGGCACACGGCGCCCAAGATTTCCAGCACGGCCACCTTTGTCTTAATGTTCTCTGTGCTCAGACTCTGAGCAATTACATTAATACTCTCAGAGTGAGCCAGGACGTGAGCCCGACCTTGAGAGTTGTTCATTAGCGCCTTTATACATCCAATAAGAGAGGTATGTATTCGAGACTCAGAGGTCTCATAGTCCATGGTCTTTAGAAAGTTGAGAATACATGACAAGCCATCCAAGTCGATGAATCTGGTTACAAACCTGTCATGAAGAGAAGCGCATCAGACTTAAGTCTCTTGGGGATTTTGCAATAGCCCTTAGCAGACAACCTTTGGAGGACAGGGGAAAGAAAGAAGACTCAGTTCCGAAAGTTCCAAAGGCCTCTTGATGAGGGCTTCTCAATCCTGCCTCTTATAATCTAGCCAGAAACCGGAAAAAAAAAAAAAATCTGTATTTGAGGTAAATACATCTAAACTGGTACAAAGAACCATATTTGAGTAAATGAGCAAAAGGACACTCAAAATATATATCTTGTCTTCGGTTAAAATCATCTGCTGATCTGAGTTATTGCAGGTCCCATGTACTTCTATGTGCTGACTGCTGACCCTGGTACACTGTAAGAAAAATCAGAGGGTGTCCTTCAACTCCAGGACATTTGCTTATCAAACGAATAACTATTTGCAGCCCTAGGAGGTTTTGAAATAATACTCTTCTTTTCCCTACTCTTTTTTAACTTTTTAAACTTGTTTTAATTAGTTATATATGACAGTAGAATGCACTTTGATACATCATATATAATGGATTATAATTTCTCATTCTTCTGGTTGTACATGATGCAGAATCACACTGGTCACACAGTTACATGTATACATGGGGTAATAATGTCTGATTCATTCTGCTATCCTTCCTACTCCCATACCTCCTCCCCTCCCTTCACTCCCCTCTACCTAATCTAAAGTAATTTCCATAGCCCTGCCTCATTGTGAATTAGCATCTGCATAGCAGAGAAAACATTCAGCTTTTGGGTTTTTTGGGATTGGCTTATTTTGCTTAGCATATTTTTCAGCTCCATCCATTTACTGGCAAATGCCATAATTTCATTCTTCTTTAAGGTTCCATTGTGTGTGTGTGTGTGTGTATATATATATATATAGGTATAATATAAATTGGTATTTTTATATATATATATATATATATATATATATATATATATATATATATATATACCAATTTTTTTTTGTCCATTCTTTTGTTGAAGAGCACCTAGGTTGGTTCCATAGTTTAGTTACTGTGAATTGGGCTACTATAAACATTGATGTGACTGTATCACTGTAATATGCTTATTTTAAGTCCTTTGGGTATAAACCGAGAAGTGGGATAGCTGGGTCAAATGGTGGTTCCATTCCAAGTTTTCCGAGGAATCTCCATACTGCTTTCCATAATGGTTGTACCAATTTATATTCCCACCAGCAATGTATAAGTGTGCCTTTTCCCCCACATCCTTGCCAACATTTTGTTTGTACTTCTGATATTTGCCATTCTGACTGGGGTGAGATGAAATCTTAGAGTAGTTTTGATTTGCATTTCTCTAATTGCTAAAGATGTCTTAACCCAATCAGTGAATTAATCCTCTGATAGGGATTAACTGAGTGGTAACTGAAGTGGTAGGGTGTGACTGGAGGAGGTGGGAACTGCGGCATGGCTTTGGGTATATATTTGAATCTGGCGAGTGGACTCTCTCTCTGCTTTCTGATCACAATGTGAGCTGCTTCCCTCTGCCACACTCTTCTGCCATGACATCCTTCCTCACCTTGAGCCTTGAGGGATGGAGCCAGCCTTCTAGGGACTAAGACACCTGAACTATGAGCCTTGAAATAAACTTTTCCTCCTTTAAAATTGTTCTGGTCAGATCCTTTAATCACAGCAGCAAAAATAGCTGACTAAAACAACTGTAAATTAATTTTTATCAATATTTATAACCTTTATTGTAAAGTCAATCAATGGAAATAATTCACAATGCCTATGTGCATGTCAAAACCCTTGAAAATTCCAGAGATAATACAACTGGTTTATCTTACTATTTAAGAAACTACCAAATTATTTAGCCTTGGATACCCATTCAATCTTGGCATGTAGAACACACTGAAGCAAACACTGGTTTAATTAAGATAGTCTAGAAGACCTCTGTCCTAAAACTGCACCATATTTTCAATGAATTAATAGATTTTTCTTAGTTTGCATTTTATTATCAAATAAAGAAAAGCAATTATTTTTTGAGCCATTCTACCCAACCACAGGATCCAAATATCACCAAACTGGTTAAGCCAGTTGGCTTCATTCATAGCACCTGGGCTAATGAAATGTGCCTGTGGGAACACCAACACCTCACCAAATCCTAGAGGCCTGAATGGAAGTGACGATGGAGGAAGCACTCAGTGGAAACTGATTACCAGAAAGGAATGAATCACTATTGCCAGAAAGTCTGCCCATCTATTATTTTTAATTTCTTTCATTTAGCATAATGTTTGTAAGGTGATTGCATGCTGTGACTGGTACTTCATTGCTTTTAATGGCCATGAAATACTCCACTGTGGACATACCACACTTTGTCCATTCGTCAATTGATGGATATACTCTACTTTTTGGCTTTTGAATAATGTAGACATGAACATTTATGGGCAGCATTTTGGGGAACACGTTTTCATTTCCCTTATCTGTATGTCTAAAAGTAGAATTGTCAGGTCACATGGCAACACTAACGTTCTGGAGAACTGCCTAACTCTTTTCCAAAGTGGCCATACTATTTTATATTCCAAGAGCAATAAATAGGGTCCCAATTTTTTTCTACATTGTTGCCATTATTGTTAATCTCTTTTTAAATTTTAGCAATTCCAATGACTCTCTGCATGTCTTTTAATTGAAGAATATCAATTTATTAAATATTCAATGGTTAAAGAATTTAAAAATTCTTGGAAGTCTGACTAGTGCAAAAAATAAAGTAGGAAGAAAAGGAGAGAGAGAGAAAGAACATGCTGCCCAGGCAAGAATTACCTCATTGGTTTTGTCCTTAGTGCTGTCTTTAAACTTTCTATAGTTTTACTTCTCTCTTCTTCTTCTTCCTTCTCTAAAGCCAGCAGGGATTTTCTCTATGCAAAGAAAACAAGTCACTTCTTCAAATTGTACTTTTAATTATCATATAAACAAGACAAGTCCACAGATTACATGCTACTATCCAATAATTCATAAATATGAGATTAAGGTTTACTACAAGTTCAATTATAGAACAGCATCACCAAGTATTCCATTTATTTTTTTTTGTTTTGTTTTGTTTTTACTACAAGGCCTTTTAAATTTTAAATAACATTTTAGGGAAATGTTTAGAAATCATAATTGAGATGAAGTTGCCCAAATGCTTAAGTAACTATTCTGTAATTGTGCCCTGATATTGATATTAATATTCATAGTTGATGAAAGACTAGACCTGTAGCTGAGCACAACACTCTGGCAATTAAAGTTAATATTGTCACAGTATCAAACAGAGGAAGTGGCAGCAATTTTCCCATACTATTGCTCTCAATTATGAGTCAAAAAGTATAATCAAGATCAAAAGGGTTTTGTTATACCCCAAATTTTAAAGACCAACACTTAAAATGGACCTGACTTTTTAATATCAACTTTTTAATATCACCTGAAACTACAATGGATACTTCTTCCAGACTGAATGTGTTAAGTTCCTGAAATGCTTCAATGTCATTTAGAAATCAGGATATAGATAGAGTTGTGTGTGTGTGTGCGTCTTTGTGCTATCCTGGGATCTGTTATAGCAGGGCTTCTTAAACTTTAATATGGACATGAAAATAGTGTCTTGGCATCTTTTTAAAATGTAGGCTCCAATTTAGTAGGTCTGGGTGAAGCCTGAGATGTTACATTTCTGAAATTTTTTTTTAGGCAATGCTGATACTGCAGGGGCAAGATATTAAGCAGGCACTTCTTAGTTGATATTAAAAAGCCATAAATATAGTAAGGTTCACAGTCCTTTCTACTCTACTGCACTCCATGATCACCTGCTTGTTCCAAAGTACCTCCAGTCTTAAGGTCCCAGGACTTCCACCCATGAAGCTACAGGTCCCTTTCCTTCATCCTACTCTAAATACGTTCTTGTCCAGTCTCAATTGTTTCATCTGTTTCCAATTCTGATAAAAGGCTTGACTGGAAAACAGATTGAGGTGGCTGCATAGTCAAAGAAAAGCTTGACTCTTATCCATGGATCTCAATGATCCAATCTCTGCCTTTCTTTCAGGATCACAAGTCATCAAGGGTGACTTTATTATTGTAAATCAACAGTATCAGTATTAAGTAACTAAATGTTCATTAAAACCTAAGTTTGACCACATAACAAGAAGGATAAAACCTAAAGCAAATGAATACACCAGTCTCTTTTATGGCCACTATAATATACAGCAGTAGAGCTTCTACTTCATTTTTTTTTTTTTTTTTAGCTTGTTATTGTTTCTGCTAAAACTGTCCTCTTGCTGGTGATGCATCTGGACAGCTGTCACCAGAGGATAGTAGGAGAAGAAACTGTGTGCAGAAATAACCAATGAATTCCTGCAGAGCTCTGTGGGACCCATCCCTAAAAAAATTTAGCACAAATCCAGCCAAGGATGCTTAATCTCCAGTGGCACAGCTGAATTCATTTGTACTCTTAAGCAATCACTCTGACTGCAGCTCAGAATCAGGCCTTTTATGAATATCATTTCTTGTTCCTAAGCTTAACTTCATAAAACTGTCCCCATATTAAAGATGACACATTTTTATTGTGGGACACTAATGCCATGTATCTGTCCTTTTAGCAATCCTAGAGAGGGTGGGACATTTGAATAAAGGTAGACTACATTAAGTCCCTCACTAGGAGGGTTGGGAGACTTATGAAATGCCACAGAAAGTTAAATTGGAACTTCTTTTCTCAATATGGAACATTATCTTTTTCTCAAAGGAGAGGAGATCATGACTTTGTGTGTGATACAGGTATATAAATATACCTGATATAGATTTGGATATAAGAGATTGCATTTAGTGTGTTAAGAAAACTGAGGATAGGTAGATATACCTGATTCTAATGTGACTTTTTAAAATCAAATGATTTATAGAAATCCTTGAGTTTTCAAGCTTCACATTTAGGAAGAAGTTTCAATTTGCACCTCTTCTCTTCTCTTCCCTCCCTCCCTCCCTCCCTTCCTTCCTTCCTTCCTTTCTTTTTTTCCTTTTTGGTACCAGGGATTGAACTCAGGGGCACTTGACCACTGAGCTATATCCTCAGTCCTATTCTGTATTTTACTTAGAGACAGGGTCTTTGTGAATTGCTTAGCACCTCGCTTTTGCTGAGATTGGCTTTGAACTCACGATCCTCCTGCCTCAGCCTCCGGAGATGCTGGGATTATAGGCATGCGCTACTGTGTCCAGCAATTTGCACTTTTTCATAGAAAAGCCCACATTTCTAAAGATGTCCTCTGTGCCAAACAATTTCTCTTGGCCTGTAGAAAACAGGCCCTGTGAGGCCTGCTTTGGATGTCCTCCCTAAATGCCTGCTCACAGAAGTGGGCACAGGGCAGTGCCCACGGGCAGAGGATCTCCCAGTTAAGGTTGCGAAGGTGGACACTGGAACGTGGAGATAAGCACAGATCTGGACAGAAATCAGCACAGTTAAGCACAGATTTGGACAGAAATTCAGCTGGGAGTCTGAAAAGCTGTTGAAGCATTTCCTTGGTGTGAAATCAATAAGCTAGCCTGCTAAGCTGAGGGAGCTTCAACTCACAGCCTCCTCGAGAAAGTATGGGAGAGCCACATACAAAACAAGCCCAGGTCCTTTGAGAACCTGTTAGGTTGTGCTCCTTTATTATACCGTTTTTCACTCTTTAAAAGCTAACAGATCATTCAGGGGTCCTTTAAAGAACAAAGCATTCTTGTTAGGAGGCTTATGTAAAGCAACTGAACTGGCTCCACAAATGGCCAGTTTCATGGACCAGTAAGTGTGGCGCTTCTCGACCTGTACTGTTTATCAGACTCCTGAGGCATAAAAAAAAAAAAAAAAACCAAAAAAAAAAAAAAAAAACAGATGCCTACCCTCCGCCCCTCCCTGTGAGACAAGTCAACAGTGTGGGCCTGGGGCCGGGGGCAGGAAGGGTCACCAGGCCTCTTTCATGTGTCACAGGGTTTTAAAAACCTAGTCAGGGAAAGGCAAATTGGAAGGAGTCTTTGGGCTCATACGACAGGTTTGATCTCCTAATTAGATGACCACTTCCTAATTAGATGATCTTGGGCAAGCAAACCCTTCTTGGAGTCTTAGACTCTATTTCTATAAATAGCACTGGCAGCATAAGGTGCTGGTAAGGATTTAAAACAACTTGTAAAGTGCCCGATACACGGCCTGTCACATGAGGCACACTCAGTAGCAGTAATTGCTGTAGACACTGGATAATGACAATGTGGACAAACTCCTCTTCAACAGGTCCCTTAGCAAACAGCTAAGGAGTCTAGATGTTGGGCCATGAGAAGATTTGAACGAACTGTGCCCCCTTCTAGTCCCCAGGGGCAATGTCTCAGGATTTCTACTGTGTGTTGTCAGGATTTCTCCAACACAGATGTCAGAGAGATTAGCTAGAACTACGCAAGGAGGTGGTGGCAATAGATATGGTGAGAAAAACAGAAAACATAACACAGGGTTTCTGGCCTCATCAGATCTGCCTGTTCCTTTAGGTATGCAGAGATTTAGAGGCCTCTTTAATCCAGGGACAGTTAATGCCCTTTATCTTTGACCTTGGAGAGATGGTGACTCAGCCCTAACAGGAACATCAGAAAGCTTTGTTATGCGTTTAACACAGAAAGGATGGCAAAGTCACAACTTAATAACCTTGTGATGCCCTGGAAGCAACTTCAGATTAGGAACCAAATATAATTAAAAAGTAGACCAGCAAAGATGGCATGAAGCAAGGAAACATCCAAGGAGCTGGAAGGAGAGAAAAGAAGCATCTTGAAGGAGGAAGGGCCACATGCCAGCATATCATAGACCCTGTTCCTCAGGAATGAGCCAGGTCAACTCCAGACAGGTCAAGGATAAAGTTATTAATGCACAAATTAATATAACTGCCCCAATATTTGAAGAAGGAAAAATCCATAATATTCAGTACTTCTCCATGTACATCAAGGAATTCATTAACAAAGAAGAAACATCTCATTAGGAATCAAACAATGCTGACTTAATTACAAAGAGAGACAGTCTGCCTGACGGTTCTTTTTTCCCTAATAGTCAGGAACAAGAATTCACAAAATAGCCTTTACATGCAAGAAATGTTCAATGGCTCCAAATTATTATTGCTTGGTTGGATGCACACAAAATCCCTGGTGGTCACCACGAATCTCACATTCTGTTAGCATATCTGTATAAACGCTGAGATTGCTCTACTCTATCTTTGGCACTGTGCATGATGCATAAGAAGGATTTGGTGGTTTGTTTGTTTATTTTTTCTGTCCTTTTTCTGCTATGCTTTTAGATTAGAAACCCTCGAGGCTAAAAATTATGTAGTTTCTTCAAAAATTAATACAGCCCTGTTCACATTTACCAGGCTGTTTATCACTTATTGCAGAACAACAGAAGAAGCATCGTCAAAGAATAAGCTAGAAAAGAGCAAGTTACTACAAGTTAAGGCCTCTCAAAGTTTAGCAAAAGAGTGAATGGTTCACATATTCTAGTCAGTTTTTAACTTTGGCAAAAGCAATGAAATACAGATGGTTTAAAATGTTTGCTTTAAGTGATAAGACATTAATTCTCCACATGGACTTTGGAGAAGGCAGGAAAATCGGTAAAGGAAAGTATTCTGGAAGCTGTTACCTATTTGGGTGTTATAAACTCAAAAGTTGAGTATAACATATTGACTTATAAAATCATGAGTGTGTCCACAGGTAAGACTGTAGGCAGCCTTCAATTTCTATCAGCAGTAACAGGATGTAAACTAATAGTCCTAATTTCAGCCATGATCGGTAGATACCCCTCAAGCTGCTTGGAACACTGATGTCACAAGATATGATGTGATCAGAATTCATATTTTAGATATTGAGAATGCATTTTAAGCAATAACTGCATCCAAACCCCATGTGCCAAGGCTTTCCCAAGAATATCTTAGCACTATTATTATTATTATGTCTTTTCATTAATCCACTGACTCCATGGATTCCTTAAGGACCTATTAAGAGAAAAGAGCATCATGATCCCCTATAAAATCAAGAAGCCAAGGAGGAACCAAAGCCCCAGTAAAAAAAAGAATGGGAGGAGTATACTGAAGGAGTTGTTTAATCATAATATTTTCAGATGATATAAACTTTTAGAATAGTATTGCAAAGCTCCAAATGATTAGTTAAAGCAATTGCAAGTTAAAGTTGAACACAAGCCAGATTTCAGATTATGTTTCCTGTTGTAACATTAAAGTCAATTATATTTTAGTGTGTGTAGACTTTATTTAAAATGTACTAGAAAAATCACTGTGCAGTAACACTTCTACCCCTTTATCAGCCGACACCTCGTGCCCCACCTCCAACTCTGAGGGTTTGGAATGGAGCTTGGAAGGGTAATGACATTTGGTAGATCTTACATAATTGAATTTATTGTGCAAGTGTGTACTTTGTACTGGATTTTAAAACTATGTTGTAGAAGATAAAGTATACCTACAGCAGCCATGGAATTGAGCTGATCAATGTAGAATTCAGGCCAACTTGTAGCTCCCTTGTTTTCTTCCTGGTCCTAAAAAGGAAAGAAAAAAGAGAAAAGGTGACATATCACCAGTTATCCACATATAGCAGTTCTCCTGACTTCCAGAGCATACAAAGGCCTGCACAAACCACCAGAAGACACATTGGGATAGGAGACATCTATTTTTAAATTTTGGCCTTAAATCTTGATTGGCGGCGGGGGGGGGGGGGGGGGGGGGGGGGGGGGGGGGTGGGGAAGGTCTTCCCAATCCAATTTCCACGGAAAGTGCTTAAGTCTCAGCTGGGTGTGACCGAGGACAAATGATCCCTAGATCCCATGTCTCACTGAGGAATGTGCTGCTAGACTGAGCATCTGGAAAGAGCTCATGAGAGAAGGAAACTTGCCTCAAAAATGACCCCAGGATGCAGCCATTTGTTAGCCCAACTTGTTCTATGTTTATTCAGACTTCAGTAGACAGTTAAATTTTGAAGTAGGGTTTCATTCCATGTGACCAAAACTAGGTTAGTGCTTCTGAGGAGGAAGTGGAATGAAGCCTGATGTTGAATGGAAGGTAATGAAATGGACCCGGGCCTACCACTGTGAGAGCTCAGGGACTTTGGTAGAAAATATAGTGTGCCTAAGCTGAAAAGAACTGGAATTCAGAAATCTATGCCCAAATTGCCCGAGTCGGCCTCACATCTTATAAACCAGTGTGACCTGGAGCAGAAGCTCCCAGGGTTTCTGTGGATGGAGGTCTGTCGTAGCCTGAACATAAACCTCCCCCCAAAATCAATTGGCCATGGTCTCTGCTGTACCAGAGCTCAGAGATCATCAAAGGATAGCATTGCAGTCAGGGATTTCTACGCATTTTTGTACACCTATGTGGCTGTAAGTCATTTGTGTGATCAAATGGCCTGAAAAGGGAAATTTCAATAATTCTTAGCTTCACACTCAGAAAGTCCCTTTGTACAATGGATATTCCCTGACCCTTAAAGAAGATGCTGTGCCATGTACATACATAGCTGGTATCTGGAGATGATGCTCTCTAGTCTGTTTTAGCATCTCATTTAGCAGAACTCCATTTCTGGTGTCAGAACCCCAATTCTCAGAAGAGTGGTTTCAGATGGATCTTTTAATTGTAGTCCCATACTTTACCTCAAAGAAACACTTTCTCTAAGCAAATCTTTCCAGGCAGGCCTACTCAGGTGGGATAAAAGAAACACAATTCCCAAACTATCTTTTAAGTACTCACAACAAGGGGGCAAAATAACTATTGTTTACAGTGCTTAAAAGCTGGCAGTAACTGATAGCAGTTGTGAACATTTCATCTGGAGATGGTACAAGCCAGATGCTAGGGACAAAGGCCACAGCAGTGGCTTTGAAGCTGGGCTGGATTACACTTCCATCATTTAAAGATGTTTAGGAAATCTGATGCGTTTTTAGAACAGCCCTTGATTATAATTTAAAGTGTTAATAAAATAGCTACAGAGGTAGTATAAACGCTGAACCCTGCTTCCCTCTTGAAAGGGAGCATTAAAATTAGCCAAACCCTGCTGTTGCCAGTGTATTTAACAAGCCAAAACCCAAAGTGATATTCAATGGCATTTGAACCTATAAAATAAAATAGAAGGTGCCAGATCTTTTTATTCTCCCCAAACTAGGGCAAATTTCCAAAACAAACAAAACCAAGTCCCATGACCAAGGTCCCACAAGAGCCTGTCTGTTTTAGGCCTGATAGCCCTACTTACAGAACAGAGATGGTCTGAGAAACTGAAGACCAGTGCACAGGGAGAAAACTTCACACTTTGGAAATGTTTTAATAATGCAAACAGATTAAGAGTAGATCTAGATACTGTAGTCAAAATAAGGCAAAGCAAGCTTCTTTTTATTTCACATACCTCAGTGCTGAGAAAATCAAACACTCATAAAGAATGTGAAAGCTGCTTGTAAATGTACCAATTGTTATCACTCTGCAATGGGGGGTGGGTAAAATCCTCAGAGTACTTGTTTTGGCCATGCATCTCCAGCTTTCCCTTGGGTAGTCTTGGTCCTGGTCCTTTCACGTGAATGTGTGTGTGTGTGTGTGTGTGTGTGTGTGTGTGTGAGAGAGAGAGAGAGAGAGAGAGAGAGAGAGAGAGAGAGAGAGAGAGAAGCCAAGGGAACTCACACCCACCTCTCTACTTCTGCTGTCTGTGGCTCTTAGAATCTATGATTCTGCAGTGGCATGGGCCAGAAGAGAAGAATGAACTAACTGTTCAGGAGGGGTTAAGAGGATTGTTCCATAAAGAGCACTAGACACTGAGACATGCCAAGGGGGAAGTGCTTCTAAAACGTATAATCTTCCTGAGGTAACTGGGTGCTACGTATTATGAGGTCCAGCACACATACAGCTTATCATGGTCCAATGCTACTCTAAGCATGGTATTCTCTCTTTAAGAGCCTACCTGAGGAGGTGGTATTGCTATTACACCAATTTTACAAGAGGTAAAAGAGGTTAGATGAGTTGCTGAGGTCATACTGCTAGAAACTCAGAGGCAAAGAGGAAGAATCAGAGCAAACCCTCTCCTAAGATTAGATCTCGCATTAATCACAAGCAATATACATTTAGTGCAAAGCTGGCTTTTGTTCCTAACCGCTTTACTATAAGAGAACTCAAACATGGCTAGAGGCCAAAACATGAGTTCACCTTTCCCTAAATATCTACTTCTATTTATGCTACATTTAACATTTTTAATATAATTCCCAAACCTAATGTTTTACCCCAGGTTACCTCTTATCCCCTCTATAGACTCTTTCTGTGGGAACTCCTTTGCCCCTTTCTCAATGTCGTACCTATCTTCATACACTGGCATACAGACTACAGTTACAAGGTTCTTCCTAATCTGTTCTGTTCTATTAAACACCTCAGTCTCTATCTTCATGGGGATTCCTCAAGAAGACTTGAAAATTAGCTGTTAGCATTGAGCACTGAGCTGTTAGCATTGTTGCAGACACTGTAATTGCAAACAAACACCTCCTTAAATCCCACACATCTAAGCCTGCCTTTGGCTACCTCCTGCACTAGTTCCATTAGAACTTTCCTCTATGAAAAAATACTGGCTTCATTTTTTTTTTTTTTTAAGTTTTCCTCTCTCTCTTTTCTTAAAAAAAATATTTATTTATTTATCTTTTAGTTGTAATTGGACACAACACCTTTATTTTATTTATTTATTTATATGTGGTATTGAGGATTGAACCCAGGGCCTCGCATGTGCTAGGTGAGTAGCACTCTACCGCTGAGCCACAACCCCAGCCCCCTAAGTTTTCTTCTCTTTAAAACAGATTATTGGTAACAGTTCATGACACTTAGAGAAGGTTGTCTTACGTGAATGTGAATTCTAGCATTCACATTAAATTCTCTATTTAGTCTATTTATAGAATGGATAATTCATATTAAAATCTAGTTTTGTTTCCTCTTGAAAGTATTACAAACATTGAAGTTCTGAGGCTTGTCTTCAGAAGTTCTGTTAGATAATTAGAAAAAAGCATTTTATGTTATTAAGTTCTCCATCGATTTATGGTTTTTGACACTTATTTTTAGAGAGATGGTATGGTGGAAGAATGACCAGATAGTGTATCCTTAGATGGGATTCTAGAATCTCCCTTTTAATCTTCTCAGTTGTTGTTTTTGATAAGTTTGAATATCTCTGGGGTGAGTTTTCTTCTCTCCAAAATAACAGGGTGAGACCAGACTGTTTCTGAAGGTTCTACAAGTGCTAAGATTCTCCATGGCTCCAACAGCGAGCTGTCACAGAAAACACAGTGTGCACAGTACTTAGCATGATGTCTAGATTTCCAACATCAATAATTTTTAAAATTTATGTTGTTCAATAACTCAGTTACATAATTGTTAATTTTCAACAGTTTCTTCCTTTGTAAGGTAGAGGGGCAGGGGAGATCCCAGCATTCATTATTTTTTAATTTCTCTAATCCAGTTCTTCTTATTTCCTTGTGAGGTAGCCAGACATCTTTAGGAGGCTCTTCATGGCTAAGATTTCCTGGGTGGATGCAATTCACCTGGAACTGCTCATGCACTGAAACTACTATTTAACCTCTTTTCTTCCATTATCCCAATTTTGGGGGGTGGCTGCTAGAAAACAGAACTTGTACAGGAGAGAGGACTTTCAAGAACATTGACTTTTTTCAATAGTCGAACTCATTTAAAAGGTAAAGACATACATAGTCTTTTTAACCTTACTTCATGTCCAAATGGCACTTTTTTTATTTCATTCTAAATGGAATGGTCAGTGGCTGGTAAAAATCTTCAAGAGATCCTCCTCCATCCTCTTTAAAAAACACACAAGGGCACATGTGTTTTTCTCAAAATCACTTTGACAATTAGAATGAATTGTGCATTGTTTCTTAGTTTTCACTCTTTCCAAAGTAAACAACCACAGCTGAGTCTGGACTTCTGACTCTCACTTCACTGTCATCTCTCTACTGCCTCCAGTTTGACTATGTTCCACTTCTTCTCTCACCATCAAACGACATGCATTGGAATCATTAGTTACTTACTAGTTATGTGATTTTTAGGCTGGCAAAGTTCCTCTGTGACTCAGTTTTAGTTTTTTGTCTATAAGATGGTTGCGCCTCTCGCATGGTCATTAGGAGGATCTACAGAGCAAATACTAAGAAGGAAAGCACTGGGAACAGCGCACATAGAACACGTTCAATAAATGTTAGCTATGAGGATAATGATAGTGTCAACAGTCTCCAGTTACAGCCACCCTAAGTACTTGTTACTGGGACTATAAAAAATTGGAGCAACCAGGGTAGAAGCAAATTTTGGCAGTGATTGTCCAAGTTTGAAAATGCACATAACCTTTGACTCTATAAATCTACTTTTAGAAACGTGGCTGGTCCATAATCATATACCACAATTATGTGTTCACAGATATATATCATAAAGATTTTCTCTCTGTAGCACTATCTGAATTAAAAAATGACTAAAAAAGAAAACAAACATATGGAGAGGGACATGGGTGACTAAATAACTATGCAGCAGTAACAAT